CATACGGTGGTCTGATTTGATATGATTTGATATGATGTGTATGTGGATGTGTGTGTGTGGTTTGAAATTGAAAGATTGAATGAATGAATCAATAGATGAATAGAATAGATAGAACTTACTATGGTGGGGATGGAGGGGATGCCATTGTTATCGGATGATTTTCTCAAAAAGTAAACCAAAAGTACAGAAATGGATGTACAAGATATGAGTTTCACTTTTTTGTTCGAATCAAAAGAATTAATCTCCTAGTCCTGGGGATGTTATGGTATGCGTTTGTGAAACACAATTGATTGATTTTGATATCGGAGAGAAAAAGTGATAGGCAGAGATGGTAGAAGGGCGGGAGATGCAGATGCGGGAACAGAGAGGTTGAGGTTTCGTGTGTGGTGTGTAGTGTAGTGTAGTGTAGTGTAGTGTAGTGCACTTTGGAAAGGGAAGAGAGAAATGGAAAAACAAAATATGTTTGGATGGATGGATGGATGGATGGAGCTGAATATGAAGATATGGAGATTGGATAAAGAACTATTCAATCAGCCTCGAGTGAGTGAGAGTGAATATATCAAAATGTATGCAATAAATTGACAAGAGCTTCCCTCCTGGAACAAATAAGTAATTAACAAACATGTGGCTGGGAAAGGAAAAGGAAAAGGAAAGGAAAATAATAATAATAATAATACGAAAATAACCGGTGGGACTTTTCTTCAGGCTGGATTAGGTGATAAATAAATCATGGCCCCATATAATTCCCTGGAGAGTGAGAGGAAAGAGCCTATCAAATCTCATAAAATACTGTCCAATCCCTATAATTTCACGATCAAAGCCCAATCGAGCAAATGGTTTAATCCAGGAACCAAAAACTTCGAGGGTGGAGTGGGATGACATGGGATCGCATAGGATAACATGGGATAAGATGGCATTGGCATGGGATGGACCGAAGCCGTGGCGCGTTCCCCAACCTCTCGTCTTTTTTGATCTTATCGTGCTTGACACGGATACTTACTCATCAAACGTGTAGAGTGCTTTTGCAATGGATGGATGGGAATATTCATCATTTAATTTTCTTGATGCATAATATTCTCTCGAAACATGTTGTGATGAGAATCGTGTCGCGCGTGGCATTGGACGAGAATTATAAATCATTCATCAAGTGAGAGGGGTTTTGGTTCTGATAGTCTTGATACATTCTTTGGGCGTGTTGGCTGCATACACGTGTTTAAATACATCGGTATATCTTCTGATTGGGGATCTCCGAAGACGGTAAAGTCAGTTGGTTCTATTATATTACTATTGCATTGTAGCGATGCGATGGCAGAGCAGGAGTATGAATCCAAACCATTCTCGACATTTGATCGTATCAAGTGCGTGTCAAGGTCACAGTATCGTTGGGACAGTATCCTTACATTCTGACAGGATTCTTAAAAACCAAATACTTCTACGCATCTACCAAATGAAGCTCGAGGTTGAAAGAGATCGAGATTCAGCTCGAAGGATTATTAATGCCCAACACTTGGCAGTTATTGGCTGCATATTAGAGTTCGGACCCCTATCAATGACATTGGCGTGTGCCGAAGTTTCCCACGTGAGTTTGGTTTAGTCTAACTCACTTAAGTTTACAATGTTTATATGTGAATAGGGAATGGCTGTTCTTGATTGTTAAAAGTTTTGATGTTTGATCGAACATGTTAGGTTCAAGTGGTTTACTTTCTTTGTGTATGCAGCCTCTCTTAGAATAGTGTGTTCTGATTTTTGGAGAGTTTGCTTTTTTTATTCACAGCAAATGCGCTTCTCCTATTAAATTCATCCAGAGTCGAGACAATACATACACCCCTAAAAGTTTCCCATATCCTACACCCAAACGAACTCGATCCCAAATAGCTTTAATACCCATCACCTTCCTCCCCCCACACATGACCAACCCAACCCCTCTACTTCTGAAATGCAATCCCCGGAGACCCCCGCTCCTCCCTCCACCTCCTCTCAAACAACTTCTCCCTAACCTCCTTCACCAAATCCCCTCCATAAACCCCCTCCTATGCGCCTCCCTCAATCCCCACAAAATCACCCTATCACCCCAATCCCGATCCCCATCATGCACCTTATAATTACCCTCACTACACTCCCCCATCATCGCATACTCACACGTAAGTTTCACATGTCGATACTTACACCAATCTACCATGCAATGGCCCTCTCCATCAGATTGTGCCGGAAGATGACACATACTAGGACAATTTCGGAGGAGAGTACAGGTACTGAGTGGACAAGTGTTGACGCTGTCGACGATGGTGAAGGGACAGATCCATCTTAAGCGGGGGTTTTGGATAAGGGATATTTGGGATTCGACGTACTGGGCTTCGGTGGGTGGGTCGTTCATGGTTGTTAGGTTTTGAGATGAGGATTATGTAGCGTGGTAGGAGAATCTTTCTTAGTATATATATTTCCTCCTAGTGCCTGTTCTCGTGGTCGCCTGTTTGTTATACTCATATGTTATTGATGGGATGTGTTTGCTTGACTCATCTGAATCTTGCTCATGAATTTGAAAGACTCATGCTCGGCACCGGGTATATGGAGATAGGAATGATTCCTCAATTGCTGTATGTATTGTCTCATATATTGAGAGATACACCGGTAATTTGTCATGATCTTAGCAAATCACTCACGCTCAAGCGGATGATGATTGAATCACATTTCAAGATGTTTGTAAACAATCCTATTGTCTGCAATAGAAGCAAAGAGAAGAACAATGGGAATGGATATGACAGCTTATTGGAAACAAAGAGTCGAAGACTAAGCCCCAAATACAGATGTCAATTCCTTGTTTGTCTTCTGAATAATCTAACCACTCATCATGGTATCACAGCGCCTACAAAGAAACGAATCTATCTAGAGCCACTAGCTCATCGCACCAAGTCATTTCATCAATCCTTCCATCTATAGCATCTCCATCTCACTTATTAAATTCCATGTCACATACATTCAAAACATCACAAATGGCACACATTTTTTTTCAAAGAAAATAATCAATTTATATAAATTACAAAACTGCAGAACAAAGACAATAAAAAAATCGCAAGAAGAGATCAGAACCAGCCTGATCCTCATCATCAAAACTCACCACCACCAGCAAACAACAATTCAATTCAAAATCCTCCCCAGCGCCATCGGACCAGCTGGAACAATAGAAGAAGAAGGAAGAGGATGTCTCTCATTTGCGAGTCGAACGACGGAAGTGGGGGAGGAATCCTCATCCTCGACCGTGAGGGCTTGCAACGCGCGAGCAAAGAGTGGAGTTTGATCTCGAGCGTCGGAATCGGAAATGGGAACGAGGTCGGCAGTAGGTGAAGAATCTTCATCATCGACGAGATCGATGGGTTGTTCGCGGGATCCAGGGGCGGAGAGCCGGAGCGAGGGTTCGGGAGCTGCAGATCGCTGTCTCTGGCGAGGAACTTGTACTGCAGCGTGATGAGAAATCGCAGCAGTGCGCAAAGGGACCGAAGACCCAGGGGCAGCAGATCGTTGTCCATACTGGAGAAATTGCGTGGCAGAAGCACGAGCAATCGCAGTCGCATTCAAATGGGCTCTTTCCTGCAACTCTCTTCCAACAACATGTCGGATACGCGGAAGCGGAAGGTGCATATTGGTGTGTCTTCGTGGAGCTTGGAGATGAGCGCGAGCGAGGGCGAGGGCGGCGGCGCGTTGTAGAGCTTGAGACTCGGGACTTTGGACGTTTTGCGGAGTATCTGTGGGGATTTTGGCCAGGATCAATCCGTTGGGGAGGAGGATACGCTGGTCGGGGAGGAGGAAAGTGTGGTGTAGGAAACGGGTGTTGCCGCCGGGAACACGGATGGTGCCTGCTGGGAGACGGATGGTGCCTGGAGGAAGCGAGAGTCTTGGGGCTTGGGGGACGGGTGCTTGTATTGGAGCTAGGACGGGCCCTTGCTGTTGACTTTGTGGGAATTGGACAGACACTTGCTGTTGTTCCTGTGGAGTTTGGACTGGCACTTGCTGTGGTATTTGCGGAGCTTCAAACGGCACTTGCTGTAGTCTTAGTGGAGCTTGCAATATTACTCGCTGTTGTCTTTGTGGGACTTGAACTGGCACTTGCTGTACCTCTGGAGCTCGGAGTGGCGCTTGCATTTCCATATCTCGACTCTGCGGTTGCGTAGCCGCTGTATCTATTTTTACACAGCATTTGCGATACTGTTTATAAAAGCCTGCAAGTGATATCGATCTTGGGAGCCAGGGTTCCGAAGAATGAAGCTCGCCGCCGGGTAGATGACGTGCTTGTTCGGTCCTAAACAGTCTCTGGAGCTGGATACCGGTTAAATATCGAGTAGACGCTGTTTTGTAGAGTGACTCGAGGAACTCGAGCTCGGCGGTGGTCCATGAACGATGATACATGGTGGGCTTTGGAGTGTTTAAGGCTGGGTATAAATACTCGGGAGTTTCTGACTAGGTTGATCGGTTGTAGTAAGAAGTGTGCGGATGGAGTAGATAGCTTGAAATGCTGAGATAAATCAATGTGACATTTTCCCTCTATTTTATGTGTGAGCACGTGGATTGTTCAGTGACTTTTCCTCAAGCAATATCTCTTTAATCCAATTCGCTTTCTTTCAGAAATCATTAGACAAAGCATTCTTACACAAAGAATATCTCGATATCAACAATAAGTCATTGTGCTCTTGTTATGGGTGTGAGCATTGTTCAATTATTGATACGGAAATGTTCACTGATTAGTCTCAGTATCAATGATGTTTATGTGCGCCCTCTTGGGATAAGCGATTAGGATTGTACACCAAGCCAAATGAATAGCATCTAAACAAGATTTATATCATTGTATAAGTATGGCAATGTTCTGGCTAATGCTTGGATTTTCATCTCCCACTGTTAACTATAACTACCTACTCTACTCTTCAAATATTTTTATCCGAACTATTCCGAAGACAAAAGTAAGTAGACACACCAAACCCAATCCTCAAACTCCACCAACAAAACTAACCATGCGTACACCCCCCATACCTTTCCCCCCCTCCGAAAAATTCTTCATCCTTTCCCTCTGCACCCTCCACAACATCCGCCTCAACCACCGCACCAGCCGCAACACCTGGCCGCAAATCATCTTCGCCCTCGAAGTCGAAGCTCCCCTCCACTATCCCGGTGGTGAACACTTCGACGCCGACCCTTGGCCCCCAAGAATCTACATCACTTCATCTCTCAGAAATTACGTCGAACGCTGGATGCTCGAGGGAAAAAGAGATGAGATAGCGAGGTTGAGAGCGGAGGGAGGGAGAACGTTGACGGAGATTATTGAAGAACATATTGAGTCGGGAGAATGTGTTAGGACGAATTTTTGGGGCTGGGAGATGGAGCCTGGATGGGTGTAGCTTGAAGAGGTAGGTGGTTTCGCTTAGATGAGTGGTGCTTGCTTCGATAAAGGCTTGGCGATTAGATAGATTGATTGAAATAAAATTTATTAGCATAATTAAATAGATAATGACATGTCAACATGATGAGATAGATGTGAGGAATAGGTATGAGTGATCATTGACGTAAGGTAATCTGCAAAGATTTGAACATTCGGTCTAAAATTAGACGATAGTCTGGCTGATTGAAGATTGTCACGTGAGAATTCAACTTAAATTAGACGACAGCTTAGAGATGTTACATCCCAAGCAACTTCAATTCATCGTAGTATGCTATCATGTATGCTATCATTTGAGACGAGATGTTGATGTATCAGTACCGTAGAAATGATAGTATATATGGATAGTAGAAGTGACAGTTTCTCAATTGATTCAGTCTATCCATAGCTGATATCACGCCGACTGTGCGATGCGCCTATAAGTATTTTGATGCACGAGGTGATACATTTTCTCTGACTATGTACGGTAGGTCGCCAGCTTTCGTGTGTATATATGAGTTATCTTCTTTACAGCTAGCTCTTGGACAAGACAACTAATTAACCACACTTATTAGTACCACAACTTTGTGCTAATGCCTGTGTAAATCTTGCACTCAGTTTTCAACTTACCACTTATCATGTTTCGAGAAGTATATCCAAGTAATCCCCAAGAAAATTTGAGTCAGAAATCATGATTAGATGGGACGATCAAGCTGTCTACTCGTCTAATTCTAGAAGTGAATTTATTGATAATTTTTCCCATGGACCGCCCCATCTGCGCTAATTAGACAATCTCATTTCTTCCCAGCACGGCTGGTCTGCCGTTACCTCTCAATAAACTTACGACTATCAAGGTCATTCACTAACATATTCCGCAAAATGAACTCACTCATAACTTCTTCATATCCCACTTGGGCCAATTAGATAATTTCATGCACCCACAATTCGGTTGAATCTAAAAAGATTTCGGCGAAACGGCAAGTTCAAAGGTCGTCTACTCAGTTGTTGAACACAGTGAATCCATCTACAGACGTTGAGAACGCATGAAAAATGACATTTACTGAAGATACGATAGACATCAGAGATTGCGCGTGCGGGGTAAATGGAAACTGAAATCCAACAGCTCGCTATTCAAGAGGTCAACCTTTCCTCTCCCACGATTTTATTTTTTTACCTGTACAACAACTTCGACCATCTCCACCCCCAGCCTCTGGCTCTTCTTGTAACTGTTCAAAGTTTTTCTCTTTCATACAGATTCTTTCTTTTCCACTAATCAATCAAATCATCATGGTTCGACAAAGTCAGAGAAAGAAGGCGCCCCTTCCAGAACGTTTTCGCAATGGAGATTATCAAGAAGCTTCTTCTTCATCCCAATCTGCAGTGCCAGCTCCTACTACACCTGCTTCAATTGCTTCCGTATCCTCAACTGCTTCACGACCAACTCCTTCGTACTCCTCCTCATCCTCACCAAGTGTTACACCTGACAGTCCTATTCCAGTCGTTAGAAGAGCTGGTAAACTCTGGAGAGAACAACAAAGAGCTTTGTTGCCGTCAAGAGCTGAGGTGGATGGTTCGCCGGAACCAGATATCGAAGAACCTCCAGCTTCTATTGCGTCAGCTCAGCCAGTTGAGCCTGCCCAGATGCCAGCTCGTACACCTGCTGATGACTATGACATCAACTCACCTTACTTTGGCTTGAACCACACACCAGAGTGGGATGATATGGGAATCAATATCGATGATGAAAGCCAGGAGAGATGATTTCCTCCCGTAAGTTTGATCAATTCATCTTTCTCCTCATAGCTAATCATAATGTTTTTCTAGGGGTTGATAGCTCCTCCTTCTTACGACTCCCTTTCCAGCGCTGCGAAGCTGATGCTCTTCCATGAACTCACCAAGATGATGTCATTCAAGAATCTTGTCTCGTTCCTCGGACTCACCGATCTTCAACTCATCGATTTCGCCGAAGTTTACGAAGCTGAGGCCCAGCGGGATGAGCTAGAACGTAAGCTCACACATGTTGCGATGAAACGATTGGACAGTATTCGACGAAACGAGAACCGTTGTATCACAATTAAGGATTTTGACTTGGCTTTATTGGAGGAGGTCGATCTGAAGTTACCAGATACAGTTCTTGAATCTCCAATTTCGCTTTCCGACATTGGAAAAGCTATCGGCTTTCTTCAGAGCTGTCATGGCTCCCAAATTGCTGAAAACCAGTTGAACAATGGCCGAGGCAGAAACAATAACACGCTTTCATTGTTTGAAGTCAATGAGATCGTTGCGGAGATGGGACAATATGCTCGGCTTGGTATCAACTTTCATTGGGACTTTGAACATGAATTGGGCTTGAGAGAGTACATCGAGAGTGAGACTATTCTTGCTGGAGGTGTTGAAGGAGTCGTGCTTCCTGGTGACGAGGCTGAGCAGCCAGCTCTTCCAATTGGACGCCCGAAGAAGCGAGGCAAGCATTTCCCTAATAAGCCCCTTCGGAACAAATCAGATCTCTTGAAAATGGTCTTACCGTCTAAGTTGCAGCAAATGGAGAGTGTTGGAGACGAGGCTGGAAAGAAGGCTGAGGGTAGTGGTTTGAACAAAGGAAAGGGTCGGGGAAATTGATAGTCTCATATTCATTTGTATATTAGTCATTCATTTTCGTGAGTGATAAATCATTTAGCGAAACATTAGGGGTTCTTCATAAAAGCATCGATGAATCTTTCAAATTGACTCGTCTAAACTATTTAATGTTCGTATTCGTTCCAGTGATTTACAATCTTTCGTCTGATGTTAGTAAGATATAAATCCTAATGAAATAACATGTAGCTAGACATTAATCGATTGTCCTTTAATAGTTTCATTTCAGTGTTTCAATGATCTAATGAAATATAAACATTCATTAAAATTCTTCTTAGGATTTTATAAATATCTCGTTCTTATAAAAATCCATAAATATCCAATAGATCACTATATACTAAATGGCTCGAGATAAATGTCTTTCACAATCTTAATTAGATAAACTAATCAATAACACTTAATCTAAAAGAATTCATTAGCGTTATACTATTAGTAGACTAATGACTTAATATTTCAATACTATCATCTTATAGGATTAAATCAAATTCCTAATTACTCATTCTAAAATATGTCATAATTAAAAAACCCAATCAAAATAATTCATATAGTCTTATAATTCGATTATAATATAAACTAGTTTTACTATATTCTAAGGTATTTGAATTCTTAGAGCTCGAATTTATCAACCTCTTGCTTAAGATTCAAGTGAGAACCAATCGTATTCTATCCTCTTACTTATTTATAACGTATAAAATATTCAAGCTTTTTTCCCAGCTATATTAACTTTTATTTTGAAGGTATTATATTCTTATCTTTCTGAGTGATTTATATATTTAGATAGTACTATTGAGCTATATGTGTAATATCTACGTAGGACTATATTCTGCTGACTATTAGCTACCTTCTACTCTTTTACAATAGTGAAAATTATAATGTAGATCATATACTCGGGAGTATACTCACACCGTATAGTCCGGGACACAAGATTGATAACCAATAATCATGAATTATTTAGGACTGGGCAAGCACCAAGATGGAACTATTCAATTTGATGACAAATATTCGGCCTCTGTGACTTGAAGAACGTTGCATATTCTCGACCGGAAAATGTAAATGTAGGTTCTAAATGACAGCTCCAAATTCCACAATTCTTGCCTACATTTTTTGCGTGATGGTATCGTGACTTTCACCCTATAACATCCCGTAGGATGCTGCAAATATCATTGACCGTGAGAACCATCATTGTGAGCATGTTTGATGACATCGTCCAATGAAATAATTCATATTTCTATTCCTCTCATATTAACAACAATATAGGCAATTCCCATCTAATCAGATATTAGAGCAGAGTTCCCACCCTAGATGTCTTAAACTCAGCCCTTCTAAAAAAAAAGTTAATCCTTCTCATCACTATACCATACCTCTATGAAATTTAAATGTCAATTTTATAATACCTCGAAGTCATGATATGTTGGAACTGGCAGGTAAGCGATAGAGGGGGAAGTACAACAAATATATTGGACTACGGCCCACAGAGTAGTATATTGAAACGAGATTGATATTCAAGATTCAGACGCGTTCTATATCCTTTAAGTAGGTTACCTCAGTATACTTCTTGCCTGGCTGAGAGTTATTACCCATCTTGTTTGTAAGTCCGTCTTTTTTCTCCCGTTGCGTGCCCTCTATGTTGCAAGCTTACTCGATTTTGAATTCATACTCTGGGCTTCTCGTCGCGTGGCCTCCAAGCCAGTCTGAATTGTGATCATCCGATTTCGATGTATTTTGGATGTGTGTAGAGAAAGAGGTGGTGACCTTGAGGGGAAAACAAAGCTACAATATCCAAAATCGTATGATACTATCAATGAAACAGGACGTCCTTCAGTATTAAACATATCAATACTCTAGATGACTAAGTATCAATTGTGCCATGATTCACTTCGTCGCAAATCCGCAACCAAGTCGCAAAAACATTGTACGATTACAATGACGAAGAATAAATAAATCATCAACAGTATCATTTGAAAAGACACGCCAGTAACAATATCACCAACTTAATAAGTAAGAATACAAGAGACAAAAATTCACTTGAGGGAGTAGCGCACTCTACAGAGATGCTAGTTACTCGATCTTTGCGCCGCTGGTGTTTGTGACATGTTGACCAGCGACCACCCTAGCCCGAAGGCTTACCTGGCTCAAGGCCTGACTTGACCATTACAGTCGGTCAGGAAAGTGAAAACACTTTTTACCTGGGGCGAATCTGCTTAAAGCTTGGAACGACTCGTGATTCCCAAATACAGGTGTCTATTATTCTACGTCCAATCCAAGCTTCAACGGAGTGAAAGGCGGGAGACCCACGCACCAATCTCTCCTCCACTTTACGGTCATGCACTGATACAGATACACTCCGCCCAACTGGGTCAACGTAATATGAATAATGATCGATGAAGACTGCCTCTTCAACCGGGTAACGCATCCTCTAGTAACTTGGTGTGTTTCAGGCTCCCCAGGGGGTGATTTCGGTTCCCAAGATGTTCAAGTATTACCCACCACACCAGCCGTTGCTAAAACATTTGTTGAAAATGCGAAGCGTGTACTCTACCATTGAGCCAGCAGCCTGTGGGTGTTCGATGACTTACGCGAGTCTATCTAATATTATACCTATCAAACGTGTTCGCCGAAAAGTGAATTGATATTGTGGGCTGGGTACAAAAACGAAGGTCGCGAATAGCATGAAGTTCCTCAACATCGATGACAATCCGTATCAAGATCTCTCACGAGCTGCCAAGAAGTATTCAAGCTAAAATGATCCAGAAGGTTTGCCTCAAAACGAAAATGGTCGCAGCAAATTACGCCATCTTTCAACGTCTTTTGGTAACACATGTGCTAATTATGTACAACACTGGTGTTGCAGGTGTTGACTAAATATAGAATATAAAGACATTCGAGAGCTTACAGCATGAATATAGAGGAATGATCAAGAAACATTGACCAAATGAATGTATACGTGACGTGGACCAAAAATTGTCGATTAGTGCAAGGAAAGCACCATTCGACTGAACAACAAACTTGAAACAAGATAACACACAACAGATACACTATAATAAGTCATATTTCTGCTAATCTTGTCATAAGAGCGTCCTCTAAAGGATCATTATTGGCAGGATCCAGCCTTTGATGTTACTGTCGAATCCCATATCGTGTTTCTATATACCGCTATATAGGTAACTGTTAATTTGCAAGTTGAATTCACTCTTAGGTGGCGCATATCAAATCTCACTAGAACTTTGTCGCAGTTCCTACCTACAAAAAGATCTGATCTGTCTAACCAATCATCCAAGTCATCTTGCTGGAGCAAAATATGGTTGGCAAATGGTAGTAAATTGCGAGCTCATTATGAAACCATAGTCTTGCTCTTATCTCGTATCAGTAATTTATAAGTCGAGATCCAGAGACAGTCTCCAAAGAAGCCATGAGATGTAAGCAGAGCTGATATGATTACTTCGAAAGCCCTAATGCGTCTGTACATATAGTAGTGATTCGTCATTATCCTCAATGCTGACTAGATTGCGGGTACAGAAAAAGTAGTATGGTCTGTAATTTTAACACGCGATCTGCAGTAAAATGTCACAATGCACGGCAAAAGTCAAAATATGCAGTGAAATCTCGAATTCTATCACTAATTGTCCCAGAAGATTTCCATACCGAGATCATAACGTGTTGATCAATTCCACTAAATACTCAAAATATGCTTCTTTCCACGAGTAGCCAAAATAGAGAAATCTTCGGTAGCACAGCTTCCTAGAAACAACTAAATATAATTCTGGCCAGACGCCTTTTCGACATTTGCTATTAGATTTTCCGTGTCTATGTGATAGTTCCTGATGATACAAAAGCGATATTTCTGCTCAATTTCTACTTCTTGACTTGTTAATTAGAGTTCTTGCATTACCTCGCGTCAGCGGCCGAGGTGTATCGAGATGGCGTGCCATAATTCTCATTTCGCTGCGCCAGTATTGGCCTGTCATATCGCAATTGCAATTTTCAGCCTTGTGTTCTTCGTGATTCTGGATGTTCTGCAAGATGTGCGCCTCATAGCGTAGTTTTTCCTCCTTGAACTTGTTTTTTAAGCTGGGGCTAATCATGAATTTGTATGTGATCTCAGGTAGAGGTGCGTTATTGAGATGCGAACGCTGTTTGTTAGGTGTCAGTCAAGGAACTTTTGATTTTTTAGGGGGGGGGGGAGAGGGGGGTCATACATTCATGCAAAATTCAAGTGCCTGTCTTACGCGCATTGAGGGAGTACTCGGATGACGAAGAAGTTCTCGAGGTCCTAACATAGGTCGATACGCCTTCTTGGCTATGTCGAATAACCTCATACATGCCCCAAAATTGACATCTTCTTCGCCACATACATCCCAGAACGATAAGTCGTATGAAGGCATAAGATGGTACTGTCTAATCTTACGAATAGAATCTTCTGAGCTGTGGATGTTGCGTGGCTCTAAAACGATTCCAGAACCCATAAGTTCTTGGACCAGAAACCATTTTCTCAATCCAGTAAAAAGTCTCCAGATATGTTCATCCTCAGTAACATAGGATGGCTTCGTATACCAAGCTAGGTTTCTGATGCGCTTCACCTCGTAATCCGGGAACCATCTTACTGAACTGTAACGAAGAGGATTCGTACTAATCGCAAGCCAATCCTCTGACGACGGCCAAAGCTCGCCAGCCATGTCGTAATCAATCAGTAGAAAGTCCCGTTCAAAGTCGAACCATACATAAGATGTATCTTCATCCGGTTGGTCCTGTCCAGGTTTGCAGCAGCGAAACGCGCGGTGGTATTGTTTTGAAGCGACAGAGAACGATTCATGATTGACGCGGAGGATCTCAGGGATCGAAGTGTATGATTTCATTGCTCGTGTGACTGGATCTTGAACGATGTGAACGATACGAGGCTCAGGAATCGCACGTTCCCAGACGAAAAGACGGATTTCTTTGGGAAATCGACGGAACTGAGGGAAAGACGATGTATTTGCGGAGGAGTACATCGTGGTGTAAGTGTTTGTCTGCCGCAGAGACGGCGACAAGGAATTTAATTGAAAAAGTTACGTTGGTAAAGTGTGCGCGCGGAAGGTTGAATACGGGAGGTTAAATAAAAGAGGTATGGCAACTAGAATAAATGGAATCTAAGCCTTGTCTTTTTAAAGTAGCTTCTGTGTAAAATTTTGTTTGTGCGGGGTACCTTAGGCTGTAAATTCACTGTAGAGAAGCTCACATGTTCTAATAATATAGAAGGTGAAAGAGAGTGGCTCTCATCTCATAAAGAGTCGATCAATAGTCTCCATTCACTGCGGTAGCCTTGACCGCTTTTCGTCGGCTCACTTGCAAAGATAACAACTGCAGCAGGGAAATATTCCTTTCTTTTGAAATACCATACGCACTTGCGGTTTTCTGTTTCTCTTAACACACTTGACAGAAAATGCTGGTTTACTTGTAAGTTGTGAGTTATTATTCCCGCGTGCAACAGGATGCCTAGTTGTCTATGGTTGTGATCATGCTTCCTTTCCTTGGGTTAATTATCCAATTGATGATTGTACAAAGTTCTCCAGAGATAGTAAAAGATGAGAGAGACGCATCACATTAATGTTCTCTTCCCCTTGATCAAAACCTGCAGGTTCATGAGCTACAATACATTATTCATTTCCATTTCTCTTTCTCAGTATCACACCATTCATATCCATCTCGAAGTCTCACCAACAGCCAATCCCAACATCTAAGAAGAGCCAGTAATGTCAATCGCAAGAACCTTTCCTCCCTCGGTATAAACACCCTCATTCTTTCCACTCTGACTAACATACGCCCATCCCAGACCATCACCAGCTCTGCCCAATTGAACACTCGTTGGACCAGACAAAACAGTCTCATTCGCATTTCCAGCCAACGTATCATTAACTCCACCAATGACCACACTCACATCGCCACCCTCAAGACCAATCTTTAGCACACTGGCTCCAGTTCCATAAGCCAAATAAGCAACTCCCTGCTCGGGATCCAGTGCGAAATCATCGGCTCCATAAGCATCTGTAAGGATCTCTACTGGTCCTGTGACGTTCAAAGTACTAAGCGAGAACGGAATGCGTCCAAAGGTTGTAAGACCTGTGTTTGTGTAATAGATGTACACTTGATCAGTGTCACCAGTGGTAGGAGTCAAAACTTTAAGACCATTAACACCGAATGCTAAAGAAGTGGAAACGGGTGGTTTCAACTCTGCAAGGTCGAGAAGAACAGAGTACTCGGAAGTGAGAACGTTGATGGACCAGATAACTCCGAGGACGGGATCAGCTGCGATAATCAAATTTTGGGATTCGGAAAGAGTGGTGAGTCCATTGAGAGATCCGGCACCGGATATAATTGCCACTTTCGAGACAGAAGCACCGCTGTTGGTGGAAGGAGCGTAGGATGTGAGATCAACAGAGTAGATAGTGTTGACACCTGTGAGAGTGCTGGCTACCGAGGAGAGGGTGAAGTTTCTTGTGATGAGGTAGAAATGTGAGGGTGCTACTTCGGTGATACCTAGAAGAGATAGTTCGGGTGTGAAAGAATGAACGAGTGTGGCAGTGTCGTTTGAATCTGGTGCAGATGAGGAGATAGTAGGGTCGATGTAGTAAAGGTAGGGATTTGTGATATCAGTGACGAGTATTTTATCATTGGAGGTTATCACAATATTTTCGAGCCAGGTAGGGTTAGGAAACTGGTGGATTACGCGGGAAGAGAGATCTGAGCGGGGAGCATGTCGGATGGTGGCTGAAAAGGCGGAGGAGAGGAGAGAGGTGGAAACTAGAAGATTTCGAGGTGAGAAATACATGATTATTTTGTGATTTACTGAAAGGCAAACCAGGAATGAAAAAAAAACTCAAGATGAATCGTGTTCAAAGCAACGTCAAAAACATAAAGAAGGAATTGACACAAGGACAAGATCAGCTCATTTGTACCTGTAGATCTTCACGAGTCATTGAATTTTCACCCGAACCGTCCAGCATCGTCCGTGTGTAGAACACGCACGCATCTGTCGAGTATCCTTGATATTCGTCCCCAGCTACCCAAACCAGAAATTCTTCACCGTTGGCGGAAGCATGTCTTGAGTCCGCCCGGCAGTGCCAAGGAACTACCGTCGCAACGACACCCTCGATTACTCGATTGCGGGGTTGTTGCATCGGTATTTGCCCTTTTGATTCTGGATAAGGATGTCAATATCCGTGTGGAATTCCAAACAGTCCTTTAATTGGACGAGGAAGGGGAGAAATTGAATAAGATCCTAGTATGTGGCTAGGGGAATTAGTGGACTAAACTTAAAACAAGCATAATTCTCGGGACCGAAAGTGTATTGCAGAAATTTTGATGAAGTGGAAACTGTAGTAACAAAGGTCTTTAAGCTCATTTGATAGTAGAGATTACATTTAAATATTGAGAGCCTAGGAAGAAGATAATGACGGTTGTGCTGCGTAGACAGATAAGAAGAAAAAATGGCATCATCTGGGATCTGATTATAGTTCGGAGGTTATTCGGGACACTAAATATCCGACGAACAAGTTGAGACCCTGAAACTTAAACATGGAAAGTTGCGTTGCAAGCACATTTTTGACACATAATTCAAAGAATTCAAAGCAAATGACATGTTCTTATTGCTACTGCATTCATCTCATGCACCTTGATAGTCTTCGTGTATTGACCGAGATACGTGCTGCTACTTGACGTGCGCAATGCTTACGCCTAGTAGGCATTTTGTGCCTTGCGTTCATCGAAAATCTTCAAAGCTTCCTCAGCAGCTTTCACCCCAGAAAGTGCCATGGCACCAAATGTGGGACCCTGTAGTAACCAGCTAGTCAGAATTTGCGATATAGGGTTGGTTAAGAGAAGGTCAATTTCTTACCATGCGGTTTGCACCATCGACCTCTGACAATTCCATGCCTCCGACAATCAAACCTGGAACAATCTCTCTAGTTCTTTTGACGATAGCGTCTTCAGCGACCTGCAACATTGAAGTCAGTTTATGTCCACTAATGAAAAAGCTGCAATGCCTTACATTCATATCGAGTCCTCTCATACCACCGAGTTCCTTAATCTGATTCATTGAAACCAAACGCTTGACACAGAACGCGCCAAATGGGCCATCATGTCCAGTGGTAGAGATGACAACAGGAGCGTTGATAGTGTTTGGATCCATGCAACTCTGGTCATCATGATGCATTGTGACAAGTGTCCAATTTGTCACCACTCCTGCGACTCTAATGTTGCCGTCGGTAGTTTGACGTGTAATGAGATCCTCAACGGCGGTAGCATTGAACAGTTTGATGTTGGGGAATGCAAGAACCTTGGATAAAAGAGTTGATGTGAATAAAGCCTGTTGACAGCTATCGTTAGTACCATAATAGATGTTAAATGAGGAATATCTAGAAGGGCATGGATAACGAAAATTTGTGAAACATACAGCATGCTTGACCACAACAAAGTCTCCCTCGTCTTCAAACGGAACACCAAGGTCAGTCAAGAAGGCATCAGCAGGCTTTCGCATGACCATAGCACTGAAAAGTTGTCCACCCAACCATGCTCCTCCACCCGGAGAAACAGAAGCCTCAATGACGGCAATCTTGAGGTCGGGACGAGCCTTGCCTAGCATGTATGCGGTGCTGAGACCACAGGATCCAGCACCAACGATGACGATATCAGACTCTGCATACGTATCGAGATCATTGAAGTAGCGGCGGGTCATTGCACGCGAGACTTGAGATTCACGAATAGGAGCAAATGTAAATCCTTGATCCCATTTCTCGGCAAGGTCAGCGAGTGTCTTGTCTTGAGTAACTGCCTGCGAAGATTCGACTTTAACGTCGAAGGCTGATTTCAATTGAACTCCATCGATGGGAGATGTTTCCTCGGCGAACAATGCTGATGGTGGTGCCATTTTCGATATTTTTCAAGTTATTACCTGCGAGAGATTAGTGACGTCCATGAGGACGGAATGGAAGAGCATGATCCTTTCGCTGGTATTATCCAGATCAAGTTCATATAACCGTATAATCTCAGAACGACCCCTCATCAACGGCACTCTCATATCATCTTACCGAGTAAGGTGGTAAATGAGAGGCAGGCTGACGATTTACAGGATCGAACACCGGTTCATGCGAGAGTGACTTATACAATTGATGTGATACCTTGATCCGCAGAGCGGATAACGTCCATGCTGAGGATTACATGGCTTCCAGCTGTTGGAAGTGAGTTGTACTTGGTACGAGTTGTCGTTTGCTAGGATGAGTGGACGATGTCAGTGTTTCCCTCCAACTGAGTGCAAGATGACTGACATGGACGTTTGTTTGCTTTTGATACGTAAATGATGAGCTTTCTAGAAGATGGTGAGAAAAGAGAAGATTTTGTTGGGGATCATACAGAGAATAAGTAGTCGGAAAATCATGAGCTAAGTGAGGGGTAAACCTTTAGTGGCCCCGTGCCCAGGAGCTAACCTTTTTAAGATGCATCAACATCGCTATCGCTGTTATCTGATTGATTGATCGAAAATCTACGACGTCAAAGAATTACCTCACTGGACTGTCAAATTTCGATCGTCAATCCTAATTGTCATAGTATGTAACAGGCACGCTTTGATTGGAGTGAGCTCATAGCTTCCTGCAGTGGCTTGCGAGACTTGGAAACATGTCAAAATCCAAAAACCATATCCCATGAGTTTTAATATGCTCTCTTGAGGCAATCACTTACCTACCTTCCTAGTTTGAAAGAGTTTTCCACAACAATGACTCACCGCAGCGTCGTTGAATTGAGAGATGAAATGGCATGGCCTGTATACATCTAGCAGTAACTAGTAATGCTTGGTTCCATTGAATTCCGCTTGAGTACGCCTGGCAATTCTTTCTCCCTCGGCGAGAATGAGGAATAACTAAACTCTCTATCTCTAAGCAAGATTCGGCCATCTATTGATTTATCTCTATCATGAATAGCCATTTATGCTTCGTAATTCTCAATGACTTTTACCAGAATATCGATTATGACGCCAATACAAGCTTCTTTTATCTGTATGCAAATGTTTTTGGAGATGGATCGCATGAAGCAAAGAAAATGTAGTGAAAAAATTGAAGAGAGATTCAGGGACTGATAATATGTACTGGTTTTTTGTTTCTGGGATGGGTTATAAGATCATTATCAAGAACCTTTCTTACACTAAACTTCGATGTGTACTCTGGCTGGGAATGAGCAAAATGCGTGGCAACATTGATTTCAACAAACAACTTCGGTACAACAGGATACCTTTGTTGATGCAGAGCTCAGTCACACATTCTCGATCTCTTCTTTCTATGCAGACCTGGCTGGTACTGGGAAGGAGCCACCACAACACTTCGCTAATCTCAAATAAAGGCATATGCTCTGGTGTCAAAAGGTCTTCCACAAACTTATCAATCAAACAACACATATCGATATAGTATATAGCAGTTCTTAAATCAATATGGCTACAAATAAGGTGAGGAGCTCCATAAGTCACGGTTTATATGAGTTTGATACAAAGAGGTATAGATCACACCTTCACCGAAAGCAACAGTTGCTCTTATCAATGCGTCAGGTCCTCCGGGAAGATATACTATATCATTCGGGAGTCACCACTACGTGGTCGAATTATCCAAGGTGCCTTGGTTGGGAGCGTATATCGATTTGATGCCAAGAGATAATGCAAGTTATACTCAGCCTAGCGATGAGAGCGAACACGAATCAGATCAATCCGTCCCCTACTTGTTCATAGCTGCCCAGGGAATCATAAATGGCTATTATTTTTGCTTCAAAATGCTTCCTCCTGAGCTTTCACATTACTATAAACTCTGCCAAACGCTTGATGTTATATCAGCCGAGAATTTGTCTTCAAGCCCCAAGTCTCTACAGGAACTATTGAGATCAATTGACTTGTATAGGAATCCAAAGACTCCCCAAGATGTCAGAATGCGCCACAGGGCAAGAGCTGGCACTGCTGCCTTCAAATTTGTGTATTTGATGATATCGGGCGACTTTAACCTCGACTCCAAAGTTCTGAAAGCAAAGCGAAAACTGGCACTAAGGTTCGTCAAGACCGTCTTGTCTAACCAAGATGATTTCATATGGGAAATAAGAAAGGTGGTTCGAGCTGCATATCAAGTCCGATTCGAGGCCAATTGGGATGTGTTTAAGATGCTTGATCATTTGGTGGGGGCAAACCGCGACGAAGCAAGAAGGTTTTGAGGTAAAAGAGGCAGCGAAGGAAGAAGCAGAAAAGAAATAGGCGGCAAAGCAAAGGGTGTCAATACGACAAGACAGGGAGTAGGACTGTGATCATAACTTTGTATATTCAGGCTTATACAATTTCAGCGATTAGCAGGAATGATTCTATGAGTTAGCAGCAATGATAGAGTTGGTAATATCAAATTCAACACACGTTAGTATCATGGCTTTCAACCATTACATGTCTCGACGAAGTCTACAGCGCAAGTGCATGTGATGGCAGGCGATCTACTTTCAAATATTTATTAGCAGGACATCAATCTGTCAATTGAGCAGAAATCACATTTTTGACGTCATAAAAGGCGTGAGACAGACAAATGTGGCGGTGCTCATGTATGTGGCGGAGAAGGTATAACAACAAGGAACTCCGTTACGTTTATAAAGTCTGGATATTGCGTTACAATTCTCGAAGTAAAATCTAGTCTACTCGATTAAGAAAATGACTGATATGCATCCATTCAATATCTCGGTCCCTCAGGATAAGATTGACACCCTTCAAACCAAACTTTCATTGGCCACTTTCCCGGATGAGCTGCCATCCGAGTTGACCTCACAATGGGATCAAGGACCCCCATTATCCGAAATCCAAAGATTAACTGAGAAATGGAAGACCTGGGATTGGAGAAGCGCAGAAAACTCACTCAACGAATACCCGCAATTTACCACGAAAATTGACGTAGAAGATTTCGGAGAATTGGACATCCACTTCCTCCATCAGGAAAGCCCTGTCAAAAATGCCATTCCATTATTATTTGTTCATGGATGTGAGATAAACTCCACAGCTCCTCGTTCTACAATCATACTTATAGAAAATCACCAGGGCCCGGTTCCTATCTTGAAGTCCTCAAGATTCTCCCCCACTTGCAAAACCCCGCCTCCACATCTTCCCCACACCCCAATTTCCACATCGTTGCCCCATCTCTCCCAAATTTCGGATTTAGCTCCGGCGTAAAAAAGAGAGGATTCGCAATGGCTCAGTATGCGGAAACTCTAAATAAGCTCATGATAAAACTTGGGTACAACGAATATGTCACCCAAGCGGGAGACTGGGGGTTTTGGATTACGAGATCGATAGGAAAACTGTACCCGAAACACTGCAAAGCAAGTCATCTTAACATGGTATATGCACAACCTCCCAAGCTATTTAGTAATCCGATTGAAAAGGTTGGAGATATGTTTATGCCCTACAGCGAGCTGGAAAGGAGAACTGTCGAGAGGAGAAAATGGTTTCAGGCTGAGAGTAGAGGTACAACTCCCTATTTCCTAACAAGTTCATATACATTCATGAATCCATAGCTGACATAAACAGGCTACAACGTACTCCAATCCACCAAGCCCCAAACCCTAGCATATGGACTAGCCGACTCCCCAGTCGCGCTTCTGAGCTGGATATATGAGAAACTACACGATTGGTCTGATGAGTATCCATGGTCAGATGACGAAATTTTGACCTGGGTGAGTATATACTACTTTAGCACAGCGGGACCAGGAGCTCCGCAGAGAATCTACTATGAAACTATGCATACTTCAGAGGATAAGGAATGTACGGTTGAGAAATTACAACAATGGACAGCAGGTGTGAAATTAGGCCTGGCATACAATCCAAAAGATTTGGAAAATGTTCCAAAGCGATGGGGAAGGACGCTTGGAAATGTGGTGTATGAAGTTGAGAATGATAGTGGAGGGTAAATTTTGCAATCTTCCCTGAAAAATGGCTGTAAAGCTCACTATTATGATAGACATTTTTATTCTCATGAGAAACCGGATCTCTTAGTACGAGATTTAAAGACTATGTTTGGAAAAGGAGGAGGAGCATTTAGTATAGTGAAGGGAAGGGATGGATACGAATAAATGTATTAAGAGCAAGTCTTGGTAGGAAAATCAATGCAGAGATATTGGAATTCTAAGTAGTTTTAACATTTGAGCCGCTCATAAGCTCCAGCACATCGGGAAGAGGAATGCTAATCACGTGGATGTTTCGTCAAAATAAGGGGATTTGAACGTTGTCTTCGGTGGCATCTATCTTTCAGTAAATTCATGCCCTCACAAATACAGATTCTAAATTCTGGATGAGCCCTAGTACCCTGTTCTTCTGAATTTCCATCACGGGAGGGACGCACATTTTGACCCTTTCGTATCCTGCTTGTGCAAGAATTTTATCTTTAAAAAAAAGAGACATATCAATACTAAACTTAAAACCTATTCAATAAAGCCATATTTGCCGTTATAATTAAGCTAACAGCTCCGAATGTCTTTGGTACTCCATCGCTCTTGTAGTTCAAAGATCCCGGGTATTTTCTCAAGAAATATCTCATGCTAGACGTACATAACACATACTAGCCAGTCACTGCCTACCACGGAGCTCCTTCAAAGATCTGTGCAAGCCCCTTGTATTTATTCAAGGGCGATCCATCTTCATGGGCTGGAATCCACGCCTCAAAAGAGAAACAGTAAAGCCTAGGCTCAGGCGCCTTCTTCCCCAAAGTTTCCCAATTAGAATCGATATCAAGCTCGTAAAGCAATGCAATTGTAAGCTTCACTTTCTTTCAAAATTCAAATTTCTCTTTATTTTTCATCCCTTGCAAATCTCTCAGATGAAGCCAATAATCAGTTCTCTCTATCTTGGCATTTTCAAGCACATTTTTAATGCGATTCATGTGGCATCTTTCAATCAAGCAGCCAGAATTGTCCCATTAGTCGTCATGCCGCATCTCTGTGTCAATATCGATCATATGATACCCCCTCCTTTTGCATAAACGGTAAGAACTTGCAAAATCCTTGACTGAAAAATTTGAAACTACCTGAAGAACTTTAATATCAGGACACATTTTAGGGAGACCGGCCAGAAGAACGGGATACTTTCTCATTCGACGCCGGATGAGTCGATTGACGTCAGTCGGAAATGTGGTAATTGCAAGACGCTCAACTGTGGAGAAATCTATGCTTCTTCCGTAATGATTCAGCAATACAAGATCTGGGATATTGAGCATCAGCGTGTCTCTCACAGGATCGATGTAGGTTTGGACGAGACGTCTATCATTTTCCCAAAAATGACGAATTGGTGGTTTCTCATGATAATTTCGCATAATACCGTGCGGATCTTGTGTCGATAATCTGATGTGTTTCAACTGGCTATAAACCGCCGCTCGTGAGAGTTTGCATGCATGCAAAAGCGGCAGTAAATGGCTCGCAGGTGATATCTTATCGTTGATTGAAAGGAAAATCTTGCCAGGGTTCATATAAACTTCGAAGTAGAAATCCGCCACTCGTGAATTGCGATCAGGAACAGCCTCCTTGAAGACCTGCTCCCGTAGCTCGGGAGGCAAGAGCTTGAATTTAGGGAAAGTGAAAATATTATTCTCGGTTGGTGGGAATAACTGGTGTGCCGAGCTGTGATATGGGAAAGCTTCGTGGGATAGAGTATCAATGGGGGACTCGTAGAGGAAAAGCGGAGATATACCTGTTGGGAACTTAGTGCCACACACTTCCAATTGGAGATCAAATAAGATTAGTACTTTGCGGGGTCATCGATTCCATAGTAAAGCAGATAAGTAAAACCAGGTGCAGATCACTAATTCTCGAAAGCGAATACCGTTGAATGAGGTCGAAGCTGTGTGGGAGAGTCTTGTCGTGGGCGGTTTTCGTGGATTTGAAGTTGCAAATGATATGTAGCTTAGAGTTCAAGATTTCGTCTTCGATGAAAAATGATTTCCTAACTGTACATTGCCACGAAAGCGAGGTTGGGATGGCTGGTAGCTTGGAAAAATCGTCTTCCGTGGAAGTTCTCTACCATGTCACTTCAAGGATTGAGTGATAGAAATAGGAAACAAGTATCGTTTGTATGTATAACAATTTCTTATTCCAAAACTTGAGCTTACGATGAAGATGTGCAAAACTGATTATGTTTGATGTTGCGGCTCCTCTAACTTAAGAATCCGACAAGATAAATGAGTAGAAAGTTTCGACCTTACAAAGTGCTCATATGGAAAGTGCCTTCAAGGTTCAGGTGCATAAGGCAAGAACCTCGCACATGTGACAATAACCTCTTTCCATTTTGGATAGATGCCCTCTTTCAAAGTTGATACATTATTTTCAAGGTTCTCAAGCATTTATGGAAATCGCGCGGATCGGGTGACATGAATGTTCATGGCGTAGGACAAAACAATCAACAGAAACTGTAGATGTGTCAGTTTATTGCAGTCCAGTCAAGTTCAGATTTATAGAAGACGAAGGCTGATTTCGTAGTTAACGAGTATAAAGTCAGGTTTTCTAGACCCAATAACCTAGTACATGGGTGTCTTCAGCCTCTATATGCTAAACTACAAGCTCCTCAACTACCGGGTTTAAGAGAGATGCTTGTTACGCCAATCAATTATTCACAACTCATGTTCGATGGAACTACACGATTTGTGTGTAGTAAACCTATGTAGCCACGCTTCAGACATCTTCCTATTCTATTCATTAAGTGAAGATGGGATCGCAAATTACTTCTACAATGATCCTTAGTTAGAAATTCTGGTAAAGTGAGCTGGAATGATCGAACTAATGATACACAAATGACTTTCCAAGATTGAAATATGGTGATGGTATCTAGCGATCAAAGCAATGAACCATCAATTCATGAAACTTACCCAAAGTCTAATTTTCATATTAATCCTTTAATTTGCATACTATAACGCAGCTCAGAGGATGGCAGACCATCACGGGGTCATTACTTTGACGTACTCAAATAGATATCACAGAACTGAGCCTTCTCACTTGGGACATCATACGCAGAGAAGTGGTTTTCATAAAAAAGCGCGACACCAAGTAAACTAAAGAGCATCTTCTCTGCACACCCTCTCCACCCACCATAAATCAAAATCTCCATGTCAAATCAAACAATCCAGAATCCTTGGCCAACTAATGTCCTGCCTTTCTTCTATGCTCCAAAACCTTGTCGCTTCTGCTGTAAGTCTTTCCACAGCCGGGTCTGGGACACTGATGAGCGCGACGTCCTACTCCGTGAACGGATGCTATGTGGCGTGGAAGATCAGATCGACGAGAGAAAGTACGTGGACAGAGCGTACATATAGTACGTTGGGGGGCTTGTTGTCCGGATGGGAAAACAGGCTGTTGAGCAGGTGCTTGGGCCGGTACGTAGGAAGTACTGTCTGGGTTAATGAAGAGTGGTGGGTATATGGCCGGACCAGCCATAGGGGCCAGATGATTGGGGGCGATGGCATTGGCATAATCAACGCCTGGGAATCCGTTGAAGAAATCTAGTTCGATAGCATTCATATTCATGCCCAGAAAGTTTCCATTCTCAACAGATGCTTCCATTGGAAAGTATGGAACCGAAAAGCTGTGAAAGTCGACATTAGGGTATATTGTAACCGCACTATTCGGAAAATCGAATGATGTCTCCGACCCCGTGACTTCGAAAGGCCCACTGGAGACTGGTGCGAGAAAGAAGCCCCCAACTGATTCGATATCACCATATGACTGGGTCGGATAGAGCGGAACTGTCAACGAGAAAAAGAAAAAAAAAACTCACCCAATCAGCCCCATTTTCAAATCCCATGCCAGTGTAAGGTAACAGGCCAATATCAGGGGGATTGGTTTGTTGGTGTTGATCGATTGGCTCTAAAGCCATCTCTTCCCAAGAGGTTGTCTCGTGGCGTGCAGCTTGCATGAGGGCGATGCGCTAAGGGCGCTGATTAAGCGAGTGTTACTGTTAAAAGAAAAGTAAGGCTATCCAATGAATGGGCACAAAAGTAGTGATGAGTGCGAAAAAAAGCTCAAAACTGGATGAGGGAAGAGCGCGAACTATATAATTTTTCATTGCACTGTCAAAAATGTTGTGTTGCTACTGCATACTCGCCCTTGGCTTCACCCTCCACTCCATGGTGGTATTGCCAGGCTGAGGGCGCTGACCCTCATGTCACTATAAAGCAGGCAATATGAGTAATGTATTTCACTCGAAGTGCTTCTGACGCTTAGGTGAGGATGCATGTAAATCTTCTTTAGGTTCCTGCATGAGGTCCACCGTCCAACACAAAGTATATCGATAAGATGGCAATCGCAAATTGCGGAGAAAATGAGCTTCAAAGTAAGTACTCGAAAACCCGGTACGTTCTCCTTTTTCTTCTATTCGACCGGTTTTGGAACGAACATACTAGTGAAGAGACTGAAGTGGTAACTTTACTTGCTTCGTTGAGTCAAGATACCCACAAAAACTAGACTGTATCATTGTGAGAGATAGCGAAAGACGAATTGCGGAGATAGAGAAATGTAAATCATGACGAGGGAGGAAACAGTAAGAGGTACGGAAATTCCATATGTTCTTGCTACCTTTCCTTTCAGATACTGAATATATAAGTAATTGCTGTATGAATGTAAAAGCAGTTACTAAGATAGCAGATGGAAGAAAAGCGTATGAAATATTGGCGACAAAATTGACGGACAATTCTCTTCAAGTGGCAAGGATACGGTGAGAACTTAACGTAATCACGTGTGATAGGTGATATTAAGATTTTGTAATGAGTATTTGGTACAAAAGGACCTACCTCAGAACTTTCGCGGTTGGAGCATGCTAGCCCTTGGTAGCGCCTGTTAATTTGAAGGGAAATTCCAAGCTGTGCGGGGTTTGCCTAGACGATCTTGAAAGGTAAAGAGGAATGCCGAGTATATTTCACAGCTTTGATAGAGAGATGCTATGAAAAAAACAATGGAAATTTTCATAGGAGGGTGGTGGAGGCAACATTACAACAAATGGCTGTTACAAAACTATGGGTTTAGTGGACTTTCACCGAACCTCAAGTTTAGTTGTAAGGATAATTGAGGGAAACACATAGAACATGATTGAAAAGATGGCCCGAATGCTAATATTATCATGAGTTGGTGTCATAAAGCTGATCATATCTAGCTCAAAGCAATCTATTTTTAAAGTCTTGCAATAATCCATCTACGCAGAATCACCGTGCTGTTCCTTACTGGACGAACAACTCAACATCTCTGCTTCCCTTCTTCTGCTCCCATAACTCCCAAAACTTAGTAGCGATATGTTTTGGGTTATTAACCGGCTCTTGTTCGCTGACTGGACCTCCAATCGTCACAAGAGCAACGTGCACCTCATCCTTTGTCTGCTCAATCAACAACTTAACCAAGTTCGCCTGTGCAGCCTTTGCCATACTGAGTGAAAACACAGGTGCAAAAGGTTGATAAATAATGGGCGAACTGGTGACAAAAAGCGAAGGGTGAGACTCCGGCTTCTCCTTTGCTAATGCTTGTAAACCTGGAAGCAACACTTTTGCAGTTGTGTACAATCCCAAGTTTGGAATTTTGAAATCCTCAACAATGTCGGCTTCGCTGTACTCGCCGAAATTTCCGTAGCTGACGCGGGCCGCATTGTAGACTACTACTTCTGGGGACCCGACTTCTTTAACGGCGGTCTGGAGAGCGGATGTTAGACCGGGGGTATCGATCACATCGGCTGTGTAGGTGTGGATTTTAGCTGATGGAGCTGCGGCGGTAATGAAGTCGCGGGATGCAGAGAGGGTGGATTCAGAACGTGCAAAGAGTGCAATGTGTGTAAAAGTGTGGGTCGCGAAAAGGCGGGGAATGTGAGATCCGATCATGGGACCGGTACCGACAATGAAAAGAGGTCCTGGGGAAGACATGATTGTATTTCTTGTTGATTTGAGGATTGTATTTGTTTGGGATGGAGAAATGGGGGAACTCGATTTGAAAGTGGTAGAAATACGTATACTGTGCCGTACGCTTATGTGGAGGTTTTGCTTGTGAGGAGGTATATTACCATATACATATATTTTAATCAAAACTGTGAGCCCCACCACGGGACGGCCGTGGATGCACTAGACCTTATTTATGTAAGGATTCATTCTATGGTCACTTACAACCAAGGACTGCAAGCGCCCCGTAGTTCTAGGATTGGCGTATCATTACAGCGACGGACGTACAGGTATCTTAGTAGTGCTCATCAAAGCCTACTTGCCACGATGTGATGGTGGGATTCATATATCCTTGTCCTTGACGATAAAGCATATACGGGGAAGCAGCCACGGAGTCACGGAGTCGAAGGGATTCTGACTGCTTCTGATGCAAAGGTAAGGGGTGAATGGGGCATGTGCTGTATGATCCTATGGTGTTGTGTTAGCATTGTAAGATCTGTCGTAATCCATGTCGTGATCTGGTGAAAGGCATTTATCGCCGATGTTGGAATCAATGCGATAAGAGACAAAGAGTGTGTTTAGATGCCCTAAAATAGCCACACTCTGTCCAAGAACACATAGTAGTTGGATCAATTCTGATACTATTGTGGCAAGTGCTTGTCAAGGATTGTAGAATAGCGGCGGTGATGAGCGCAGACAATTCCGCAATCAATACAAATCAAGATGGTAAAGATGGTATTGCAGTTGGTAGTGGAATCATTTTGCGGTATTACTGTATCGTCTTATGTAAGCATTTAAGCTTCTCCACAACTGACCATTTCGGGGGATGGCTGCCTTAGTGCCAACTGGGAATTTGGTTGGATAGAAGAAAGATATCCTGAGGCATGCAATCACAGTTTTCTCTCAACAGTGTGATTTTGGCAATTATGCACTCTGGGCATCACAAAGTACTGTATGACAATGAAAAGACATTTGTTGCTTATTTTGGACGTCTATCTAAATTATGGTATTTTTACATTGGCATATAAATTGCAAACCCCGGTATACATGAAATTGCATTTCCCTCACGAAGTAGCCAGCATATCCAACTTGGATGTACTAATTCTAGGCTTTGGATGGACCAAAGGAAGAAGCCCAAGGATCATACGAGTCTGATGCCATCAGTTCTTGCATATGTCGTCTACGAATGCCTACATTGCCACCGTCAAAAATTGGTAAGACAATGGCCGTGTTCAACAGAACTCCGAAGGGCTGCTCGGTACTATACGCAGTACTATGATGGATAATTAGTGACCTTCATACTTTGTGGAGAATAGTGTGATGGGGAACCTACATTCCAACAGCATTAATGGCCTCTGTAACTGCTTTGACGCTCTCTTCTGAGCAATAAATCTTCGCCGCCAATGCCAATTCACGTCTGGCATTATAATCACCTGGTCCATTCTCAAGGGTGTGAGCTGCCTTCCATGTCAAAGCTCTGGAAGCTTCTGCCTTCATTTTGATACCGCTTAGAATATCTGCGAAAGCTTGTCTTGACAACAAGTCTTCTGCTCCTCTCCGATTATCGGCTTTGGCAAATGCTAGAGCTGCCTCGAAAGCGGCTCTCATAACACTGACACTCATGGCACCGACCAAAACAGCAGAACAATCGAAGGCTCCAGATACCACAGGAACGCCTTGACCTGGTGGACATAGAACGTTCTTAGTAGGAACTCTTAAGTTGGTATATTTGATATGTGGACCAGAGCAAGCAGGGTGTCCGGCAGTTGCTACATGTTTGAGTGTTTTGAATGCTCCCTTTTCATTACGTTCAATATCGGCTCTGCTTACGAGCAGTATCATGATTGCGTCAGCGGGGTCATCTGAGGTAACACTGGGATCACGGCAGACTACACATTGAAGGTCTGCACCTTCAAAGTCCCAGCCTGCACAATTGGTAGCCCACATCTGTTTCCCGGATTAGTTTTAATTCTAGATGTGGGTTCGGCTTTCTTCAAGTTTTTCTTACCTTTTCTCCATTAAGTACCCATTCATCACCTTCAAGTGTGGCTGTTGTGTTGAGCCCCGGAGCACCCTTCTCCAAGAAGTTTGCAACTCCTCCTGGTTCGGAGAATACCAAACTTGCTAATGGTGCCCCTTCACCATTCAAAAATGGCTCCAAAAATTCTTTATGCTCTTCTTTTCCAACCAAATTCAATGGTGTCAACCCCAATCCAGTTGCAAAGATTGTCAAAGATGCAGAGGGGTCAACGGCATACATCTCTTCAACTAAGATGGTTGCTTCGGTTAAGCTTCCACCTGCTCCTCCAATATGAGGTCCTATCAAGCCTTTGATCATGCCCCCAGCTGTTGCATCAGCATAAAAAGGCTTTAATGATTGAAATTGTTGCTCGTCTTTCTTCGCGGAGTACACCTTCTTGATATCCTTTAGAGGGCCAGCAGCGAATGCAGCTGCATGTTTTCGGATGCCATCCTCAGATGCAGAGAGTTGAAAGTCAATAGGCATATTGTAAAGTTTCTTGAACGGATAGTTTTTGTGAAAGGTGCTGTCAGAAAGTTCTCAGAAGAAATATTATGTGAAACTCTGTGTTTGTTTGTCTGTTTGCAAATTATTTATAGAAAATCAGAATTGAGAGTTGTTGAAATACAAAAAATAATTCAAACTTTATGAGGGGTAGTATTCCAAAATCAGACTAGGGCTGATGTAAAGTGCGGAATTGTCGAATCGGCGTGATCGGTTATATGCATATACCCGAGTTCGTTGGAAGGATGTTGGTGACAGGGGTTATCATATTATCGCTGATATTCTGACAGGCCATTGCTGACATGCCTCTTGGCCGATAGTTTTACAGGCATTGCCAATTTGTCAAGCACTGCATGCCACGATCCTATTGTAATACAAGCCCTTGAGCTGACCCCTACATAAAACGCTATTCCCGTCCCGTACAGTATCATCTTCCTAACTCGTTTTATTCAAAGACTCCGGGGGGTATGACCTTACGTATGATAAGGTATCCTGCATTCGAATCTCAATATGTTTTTCACCACTTCAACGGGCAAGATTACAACCCTGTTGAGGATTCACATAGGTAGGATTACCGGCATGTATAATTTGTTTCGAGAATGATAGTTGTTGATCCTTCATTATCATATTTACTGTGCCATTGCCGCGCAGCCCCTGACGTTAAGTATTGGGTCCGCTCACCTTTTTTTCTGCACAAAAGCTGCATATATCTCCTCGGAATAGCAACCAACTGTTTATTTATTGTCCGACTTTTATATTTATATTTCTAAAGCAGTTAAATCGCAATGTCAGCTACGGACCCCAATATACCGCATGATTCCAAGGTGGATCAGATATTGGGAGTATGTTCTGCTATGTTGGTGATTACTACAATAGTGGTAGCAGCAAGAATTTGGACTCGTTTGAAGCTTGCTAAAGGTGGACTTGGATCCGATGACTGGTGTATAATCGTTGCTTGGGTTTTGGCTATAGCTTTTGATCTTGATCCAATTAATCGTGAGTTCTTTCTGAAAAGATATACAATGATCTTCTGTTTGCTGTCGGGGTCATGCCATTGCCGATGGGGTGAAACAAATGTCAAACTCATGAATGTGACTGACCTGTTTAACAGAAGTAAAATTTGGGTTGGGTCAACATATATATGATTTGCCTGAAAATACAAATTTCAGTGCATCTCTAGAGGTGAATTCAGCAAACTCAGCTATGAATCTCCTATCATATTAACAAAAATCTAAGCTCTATTATTTCGGCGAAATTATCTACTTCATCTGTGTGGCCGTCACAAAAATAGCTATCCTCATTCTCTATCTTCGTTTAGCCACTTCCAAAGTCCTTCGAACTCTCATCTGGGGTGTAATGGCCTTTGTGACCCTTACATCTATATCCTTCGTTATTGCGACTATTTTTCAATGTACGCCGATTTCCAAGGCTTGGGAACAACCTGTTACGGATAAGGGACATTGTATTCAAGTCAATGCTTTGTTCTATGCCAATGCCGGTTTGGATATATTTCAGGATTTGGTGATATACGTTCTGCCAATGAAAATGCTGTACTCGATTCAGATACCGAGGAGACAGAAATATGCGCTTATGATTGTTTTTGCGGTGGGGGGATTTGTAGTCGTCACGGGCATGATTAGACTTTATTATTTGCAAGGCGCTCAAGCATCGCAGGATCCTTCTTGTGAGTACTTCTTCTTTTGATATCAGCAATTTTTTCAGTAGATTTGTTATCTAACAGTCATTTAGATGACAATGTAGGCGGTGCTGTCTGGTCTTCCATCGAATGCAACATAGGCGTAGTGTGTGCCTCGCTCCCTCACTTCAAACCCCTCTTCGATCGATTCTTCCCCTCATTAATGGGTCGATCTGCTGGCGCCTCAAATCACAATGGTCATTCGGGGCCAGAATTAAGGAAGAATTACGTTAAACAAAATAATGAATATGAGTTGGAGAACGGAGGCGCGAAGAAGAAGATGTGGAAAGATACTTATGAGGGGAAGTATGGGAGAGATCTGGTTAATAATATTGAGGGGGGTGATACCATATACGAGGGGAATGATAGCGAGGAGAGGCTGAGGGGCGCGACGCCGCCAGAGACTGAGGGAAATAATGGAGGAGGGATCTACAAAAGCACGAAGATTGTGGTTAGTAGGTTGCCGGCTGAGAGGTGAGGTGAATCAGGGTTGGTAGAACAATGTTTTGTATGAAACGAAGGGTTTACGGAATGGTATACTATAGGTTGGCATGGAAAGGCGTTGGATATAATGATGGTATTACACATGGACTTGAACTTGAGGTTCAAAAATTCTACAATGGATGGATAGAGTCTCCGAGAACTTATGCTTCGCGGCCTTGGAATTTTGTAAATTATCTAGCAATATATTTTGTACATTACATTATTAATTCAAGAAACCTCTGAAACTTCTTCTCTCCACCCGAGTATTTTCTCAACATACCCTTCCATGTCTATCTCCTCATAATCATGCGACATCTTTTCCACATTTCATTTTCCATCTCGCTCCCAAATTCCATCTCACGCTGAACGTTACAACCGCGGTTGAGGATAGGTACTCACGTCAGACGAAACGAAACGCAACAGTCCTAGTCTAGTCCCAGGATCGGATATTAAAAATCGCCTTCTAGAACTCCTCGGAGTTTAACGTTTCATCGACATCCAAATCCAGATTCAAACTCAAATTAACATTACGCGGGCAGAATTAGGTCCTTCCTTTTCGAGAATGTTGCAGGGGAGACACATGTGATGCATACAATGCATGCAGGGTGTGCGATCCCGATGTTCGGGTATTGTTTCTGTGGTGTGATGATCTGATTTCTTTATGTACTTGGGAATGGGGGAATCTAACTTCATTGGGAGGGGTGGCATTCTGGAATTTTGGATGACTGGATTTGTATAATAAATGACACGTGTATATTGCTTTAATGAGGGAAATACAAAAGCGAGGAGAGAAGAATATCTATCCATCTGTGCTAGATTCGGGCTGGGGGTTATATCTGCACTCACTAGGGATCTTACGAATTACTTATTCATCCATTGAAAGGAATCAAATACTAGCAAGGTAACTAGGTATATACCTAAAAGATCGAATTCACCCATCCATCCATCCATCTTCCTTTCTAGATATTACTCATCCATCCATTTCCTGATACCAACTATCATCCTAAACAGTATACATAGCATACCAAATCAAACTATCCCCACACAATCAGCACCATCCCATCCCATCCCCACATCACATGCTACCCTACCATTTATTCATTTATTCACTACCTCCCTAGATACTTAGTATTTCTCTATCTCGGGGTACTCCAAACGAGCATCCCCATCCCATCCCACATTCCCGTACATCTCCAGATCCAACATCCAATATCCAATATTCAAACTCAAAGTCGCACCCAAGGATTCACCACTAGATAAACAAAACTCCAAACCCCAAAGTACCACCGCAGCATGCATCCCTCGCACACCAAATATAACTCTAAATCCCAATACCACACACACACACACACACAATACCACGACATGATAAAAATCAAACTTCAAGCTTAAATCTTAAATTACCGTACCCAAAAGGTGCATATACGAAACTTTAGTAGCGAGGTGGTATTACGGAAGAGTGAGAGGCGTATATTATCGGCAGATGTTTTTATTTCAAGGTGGGATCTACATTGTGGCGTTTATATATGAAATGCGATGGGGGGAATGAGTAAGTGAGTGTGGCCCAGTGGAAGAGGGAAGAAAAGCAAGAGGAATAGATGGTATGTTACTTGGGAAGGGTGAGTTTCGTGTTTTGAGTTGATATTCTTCCTTTCTTTTGGTATTATGTACATGCACATGATGAAATTTTGATATTACTAGTAATTACTATTCCTCGATTATGCGGGTATCTCTGAGAAAGTTTGATATGTATTCATATGGGATAACACTAGAGAATGTTCTGATTCAAATAACTATGTGGTTGTCACAGGGTAAACATAACCTCCCCTCTCGGAATCTCTTTCCGCTGTTGTATCATCCAAGTTAATACTGACTATCAGTAGTATCACCGAAGTGAAGTGCAAAGTCTCATTGTCCATCACTAATATTGTAACTTCACCACCACCACTACCGCCATCACTCAATGGATGATGACTTTCTCTTTCCGTTCTCATAAATACGACCACTGCTAACATAAGAGCTTGCGTAACCCAATCTAATCACAACTATCTAGGTAGCTATGTGTGTATCAACCACTCGATGAGATCAGTACCTCCATATCAAAAAAGAAAATAAAGGAATTCAATCAGCCCGATAAGATTCTACGGACTATGATTAGAATCTCAATAAAATCTGAGGATACTTATTTCTGAACAACTATCAAGCTAATGTGATTTTGAATCTTCTAGATATCGTATTGTGTGTGTATCAAATTCAGAAGCCAGACCTACTATTCCAGATAGCAATAAAGTAAAGCAAAACAAAGTAATCTTACCTTTACTCTAATCCAAAATCCAAAATCCACAAACTTCCCTACCTGTATACCTCCAGTATTCCCCAGGAAAAACTTAACCCCATACCAGAAAACTCACTTTAAACAGAAAGTATTGTGAATACAATTCGGAATTGAACAGACTGTTCGTGTATGTCTCCCTCGCTAGAACATACGAATTATATAGAGACAATGCTAAAATCAACAATGAGCTTGAGAACGAACTCCTGGGGAAGTGACATGACTATAGCAGTAGCAAGAATTAAACTATTCCTTCGAGTCACTTGGCTCAGGGATTTCATACTTTAAATGCTCAGGTGACCTGTGTTCGTCCAGATAGATGTCTGTATTCATCCACCTCTAACAATTAGAAATCACTCAACTTTTAAGAACAACAGTGCTACCTTTTCTTAAAACTTACTCAATTGTCATGATATGAGTACAATAGCCGCCAGATACAACATGGCAAACTGCTTGCAAGATCACTAGCAAAACATGAATAGAAGGAGGTAAAGTTAAGACATTCATAGCATTAAGGATATCTATTTCTATTTCTCATCACCTTCAGCTGCCAAAGCATCGATTCTCGAGGCTCTCAAACTACCCGATTTCGCTTTAGTAGATGATCTCAATGATCTGGTACTTGCGGAATCAGCATCGCCTGAGAGTGGTGTAACCGGCCTCTCACTATCCAGAGAAGAGAGACTAGTGAAGCTACTTTCTCTAACTAACGGCGATGGAACATCAGGAGTAGATGATCTGGAACCTCCGGCTCCCACTCTGGGAGAAGGAGGTGCGAGTTTCTGTCCAGTAGTTGGAACAGGAAGAGTCTTCTTTCTCCTACGTTCAGAGGCAGTAGATGCGCTGCTGGCTTTCCTTGTATGACTACTGCCGGGTCTTTCGTCAGCTTCCGCAGTAGGTGTTGCGCTTCGAGACGAATTGCGAGAATGAGAATGTGATCGTACGCTTGCACTCCTATCACGTTTCGATGCTGTACTTTGTCGATGAGGTCGATGATGAATCTTCTCAACATCCGTCGCATGCCCTGAACTCCATCCGCGGTACCCGGTCCACCATAGCCATCCACCTTGTTGCTTTGCTAGTTTCCTTTCCTGGTCCTTCAATTTCTGTCGTAATATTTTTCGTCGCTCGTTTTCCTTTTCCCAGTATTCTGTACGATATATATCCCAATTTTCTCTAAAATTAGGAGAGAAAGGTTTGGGAAGCAATAAAAGCTTCACGTAATCTCCACCAGGTGCCAAGTCTTCTTCATAACGTTTCGTATCATCGTCTTCGTGTATATTCCGTAGCGCATGATGCCCTCCATTCTTCGTAGCCTTCTCCGATTCTTTCAATAACGATTGATCCACAAATCGATATGAGCTCCCACCGCTACTGCCCGAGAACAGGCCGTATGAGAATAGAAATGATAATGCCGACAATAATTCCTTCCACCATGATTGCTTGATAACCACCAGCTTACAATTAAATCCTCTAAGCCCTCTGTTTGTAATACCCACAAATCTTCGCGGCCATCGAATACCCCGTTCCCATTGTCCAGTTCCCCAGATTAATAGCGCTGTCACTATACCGCCCATGAAACACATTTTCTCTGTCATTTCCACAACCCAGTATACAGATCCGCCTACACCACTACCATCTTCTCTCGGCGCCAGGAACAAGGCATATCCAAACCATATAATCCATAGCCCCAACAAACTCAAAAAGAACGCATGTTGCCGCCTTCGTGTGCGAAGTTGCAGCCACTGCGCGCGAAGTGAAGCTTCGAGGATTAGAAGATTGAGGTAGATCTGCGGGGGAGAAGAGGGAAGGGATGCGAGAGGATCGGTAATGGAAGGTTCGGACGGTGTAACACCAGTAGTTGGGATAGGAGGAATATGGGCTCCTGGAGACGGAGCGCCTTTAACTATCTGGTCGAGATTAGACATCGCGATGGATGAACGTCTATAGTATTTGAAGCTATGGCGCTATCATCATGCTCTCCTCGTAGCTATTGTGGAACTGTGGAATTGGAGGCTTGTGCGCAATGAGTGGAAAATGTTGGGAAATATGAAGTTATATTGAAGGACGAAAAAATGAAATGCGCTGTTTGGTAAACAAAGTCCAATATCAGCTACCAATAGAATAAATTTGGAGTTGTGGAGCAATATGGGGTGGCATAGTTCACCGATAGGTAGTGATGTTGGCTCGTTGGGTTGAGGTTCAATATTCTAGAAGCTCGGCAATAATAACTTTTAGGTGCGTGGGTGTGAGTGTCTCTCTTTTGGATACTTTCATGCAAGCAGCTGACACCGTCATCGGTGTGGGTGGAGGATGTTTTCTAACTCGACAAAATATCTTATCTTAAATCCACCACCACCAACCACCAGATTTCTACAATGAATTCAATAAATACTTCACAAACCACACAATGTCATATATCCTGTACAAATTCATTCAATATAGGTATGTTTTGTAGTCCGGTCCAATCGGAATGAAGCGAATGCGAATAGAGGAAATATTATCCCATTCCAAGGACTCTTTCTATGGAACTCCGGATTGGTGGTTGCTCCGATCACCGAGTTTTGTTGATCGCATTCGCATTCGCAATTACGATGACGACCTCAGAAGCACCTACAAATCGCATCTAATAAGTCTGACTCTTGTACATCAAATAAACCCTTAAATACCCCTTCAAATCATCGAATGATTTCTACTGCTTGCTACCTCTTCTCTCGAGTACAGTATACTTATTAATCCTCACAGTATCTTTTATTCCATCTAATTCCTTACTCCCGACAAATCATCAGCCGGCTGAACATTTAAAGTGGCGTCCACCGGCCGTACCTATTCCAAAGTCCTTAACTCCGCCGACAGTGGAAGTAATATTACTTTCTTTATAAGTAATTGAGAGGTGCAAGAGTTGCCTCCCAATCATTCAAGTTGTATCAAACAAACCTCATATCGCTATTACTGCGATCAGGACCATCAGACACATTCAGTGGACGAAAGTCTGTTCTCCCGTATCTGAAACGACTCTCCAATTTTACCACCTATACTACAATGGCTACCTCTGATACTGAGGCTCCTCGAAGCCAACAATTTCCACTCGCTTCTCGCCGTGAGAACTCCAAGGAAAATGCCCCTGCAAGAGGCTTCTTTCCCCTAGGTTATAAGCCAGCATTCAGTCAGTGGTGGGCAAGCGTTTCACCGGCTGTCGCAGAACATACTGTATTGTCCTTCGTTCCATATCTACAAAAGCCACCTACGCATACTCAGACTGGCTCTGCGCCGGTCTCGGCTGGCACATCAACATTATCAGTGAACGATGATCCGAATGCTGTATCTGCTCCAGTACGAACGAATTCTATAAACGATCCTCATGGTCCAAGACAATGGCATTCGAATCTTGTGAAACTGAGTGGGAAGAACAGGGCATTGAATGAGTTTTCCGTGGAAAGAGTGGGAGAAAAGGTTGAGGATACATTAGTAATGCTTCACGGCTATGGCGCAGGTCTCGGATTCTTTTACAAAAACTTTGAGGGATTAAGTCGAGTGCCAGGTTGGAAAATATACGCTCTAGATATGTTAGGCATGGGACGAAGCACCCGGCCACCTTTCAAAATAAGTGCCAAGGATCAAGCTGGCAAAATTGCAGAGACAGAAAGTTGGTTTATTGATGCGCTGGAAGAATGGCGCGTTCTAAAGAAACTCGACAAATTTACACTTTTGGGCCACAGTATGGGTGGTTACATGGCTGTTGCATATGCGCTTAAATATCCCGGACATCTGAACAAATTGATACTCGCCTCCCCAGTGGGAATCCCTGAAGACCCCTATGCTACCTCAGCGGCCATGCCCGAGCCCGAAGAATCTACTCTCGCAAGCGAATTTACACAAGATCAAGAAGCAGATATTGTCTCTTCATCTTCCTCCTCCAATCCAAGCAGACGCACCACCGGCGACAACAACAATTTTGGAAACGTGCGCAACAAACGCGAAGACAATAAATCCAAATCCGAACCCGCCAAGCGACCCCTCCCCTTCTGGCTCACCTACCTCTGGGATGCAAACGTATCACCCTTTTCTCTCGTTCGCTGGGCCGGCCCCTTGGGACCCCGTCTCGTCTCCGGTTGGACATCCCGCCGCTTTTCCCATCTCCCCAGCAACGAAAACGAAGCACTACACATGTACGCTTACTCCCTCTTTCGCCAACGCGGATCCGGCGAATACGCACTCCCCTATATCCTCGCTCCAGGAGCCTTTGCTCGCTCTCCTTTAATCCGCCGCATCCATGGCGTAGGCCGTCAACCCATTCCTTCCTCTTCGTCTTCTACTTCCCCCTCACCCCTCGCCCAAAAAGAACACGGTTACCCCATCCTCTTAATGTACGGCGACAACGACTGGATGGACGTAGCCGGTGGCTACGCCGCCGAACAAGCCTGCAAAGAGGAGCGCGAAAAAACTCTCGCTACAGCATCGAAAGAGGAAAAAGCACTCGAAAACGGTAGCGCAAAAGTCGTCATTATTCAAAAAGCAGGCCATCATTTATATCTAGATGGATGGGAAGAATTCAATGAGTTCATGAGAGGTGAAATGAAGGAGACGACTGTGGATAATCGCAAGATGAAGAGTGTTTTGGAGAAGCTGGGGGTGCAGGTTGAGGAGAGATCGTAGTTTGTATGTATGTAGTTTGTAAAGGGGAAGCGGATCTTTGGATGGGATTGGGAGGGGGCATGGTGCGGTATTGTATCAGATATCTTTTGCAGGTTGAGCTTTAGTTTTGTAGGGGGACAAGGAATACAGGATTGTGTATGGGATTGGAGTTTTTGGGAACGGACTAATTACTCTAGATTTACATCTGGAATGGCGAGTAGAGCGAGCAGGGTGTTCTTTCATTCTTTCTTTATATTTATACGTGTAAAACTACAATACATCCACCCACCCAGTCACCCATCAGCAGACGCATTCATGGAAGATATAGATCCACAAACTTAGACAGACTAAAATAAGAATGAATGCACAGCATTGCATAGCATCGCGAAGATACTCACATACAAAATTCCATACAACCAATATAAATAATTACCAAAATTACCTAGTATCATGTACACGTGAAATATCCAACACCATTGCTTGCTGTATCCCGTATCTTCCAAAAGCGGCCTGGGTATATAATATAACCTCCACACATGCGCGCCTGACCTGACCCGACCCGACCAGTCCGATTCCCATGATTATGCTCGTGATTACATCGCCATATCATTACATTTTACATTATTCCTGCATCATGCTTTCTTTCGTGTGTTCGTTCGTTCGTTCGTTTGTGCGTTTGTTGGCTGCTTTATTCAAAACTTGGTGCCGTTAACATACGGTAGGAGATTTTGTGTGCCTAGCGTGCGACCCTCTGGTGAGAGATGGTGTTAGTAGGTAATAATGATTAGGGGGTTTCTTTCTTTCTTTCTTTCTTTCTTTCTTCTCTCCGGGAGTAGGAGTAAGAGAAAGAGGAATAGTAATACTTACTAACAAACCAAACAATCAAACTCGGCAATTTGAAATTTCCCGAACGACCCGTAGCCTTGCTTCGTCCAAGAGCAACGGCAATCATGGGGGCCCCATCAGTTTTATACACCACTGGATTTTTCGATCTCAGCACTAGATCGAGATTTTTAGCTAGGGCGTGGGCCTGTTTATCGGCGTAGACGAATTGACTTGGTTGCGCATCGATGATGTCACCTGCGGCCCAGACATCTTCTGCTCCGTGGACGCGGAGATGTTGATCTACTTTAACGAAGTTTTGTCCATCGAGTAGTTCTTTGGGGATGTATTCGCTGTTTGGGATTGTCCCCAGTGTGGGTAAATAAAGGTCACAAACGAGTTTCTCGCCATTGGATAGTGAAAGTTCGGTTTGACTCGTGGGGAGAACCTTCGTCGAGTTAATCCTCGTTCTGAGCCGCACGTTGACGTCCATTTTTTCGAGTTCTTTCTGTGCTCCTGAGGCTATGGGGCTGGTAACTGCGCCTTTTAGAATTTCATCGCTTGATGTGATCTGTTTTTCGGTTAGTATATCATTTATTTTGGAACTAAACTATACGCGACAGTACGTACTAATATTATGTCCTTGGTTTTTCCAAATTCGAATCCTAACTCTCCGACAGTCTCCACACCCGTAGGCCCTGCACCTCCCACTACAATAGTCTTTGCGTTGGCGACCTTCTCGCGAAATTTGTGAAGCAGTTCTTTAGTCTGTTCATATCCCGAAGGAGCTCCTTTCCATGGTACTTCGCCTATGGTGTGACTACCGGTAGCAATAACCAACGAATCGTATGATTGAACCGATTCGGGACCCGCAGTAGTTTTTATTGTGACTGTTTTAGCGACCGGATCCATACTCGTAGCCGTCCCCAAGAGGAACTCGAAAGATTCACTTGGATATTTAGAAAAGCCAGGCGCAATCTCTGCGAACATCTGGAAATAGTGTCAATTACGCAGGTAGAGATTGGAAAAGATTTAATGTCAAGCATTGGCGCACCTTTTCATCTCCGAATTGCCCTGGAACAATTGCTATTGCCGTTTGTGAGAATGAGATCAAAAGTGCGAGTAGATATATTGCCACAAACCTCGAACTGAAGCCATGTTCCAATACAAATGTGTGGTTGGCGAGACTAAAACTATCTTGAGTTCAGGAACCGCCGATAGAGTCGTTTTCAAAAGCCTGCATAGCATTAGTTACCATCTTCTCGTGTCATATAGTTAAAGATACTGACTTATGCGCAATTGTTAATCCAACATAAGAAGCACCGAGAATCAGAACAGTTTTCGACATTTTTCTGCTATTGATCAGTATTCTCTGGAAAATGAGGTTCTAATCTTTTGTTGTCTTTTGAAACATGAAGAAATGAAAGGTCGTGAATAGTTATAGGAAAATGTGTGAGTAGAGATGAGATAAGAACTATCAGTGCTGAAACAATAGTTTGATGTCAAAGAATGAGGGTAGCAAAAAGTAATAACCGTTAGTCCTTGTGCGTGGAACAATCTCATATTAATAGCAATGATATTTGTCTACCTAGTACCTATCAGTAGAGCAGCGCCGCGAATAGTTCGTCGGCTTGATATTGAAATTACATGAAATCCTAAAGCCTAGATGGTAAATTGTGCAGAAGTTCGAAGAAGGGATGGCGGAAAGGAAAGGTCCACATGAGCGAAAGCTTGTTGTGATAATTTTGAAGATGTTTGGGACCTTTGAGAATAGAAGTCTACTAAGAATGATTTAACTCGAGACCCTGTAATATAACAATTGGTCTGAGAAGATCTGCGTCCCTGCACGGACGAGATCCCCAAAGGTTTCTTTTGGAGCTCCGTGCGATAGATTCATCTCGATTAAGCTTTCGGGTTTCGGACGAAAACCCTCATATTAACCAATGAAAGTGACGGATCTAGATCAAAACACGTAAATTGCTTGATTCAAAAATGGTCCAAACATTGCGGTTAACTTGGATGTCACCAATACCACGGGGAAAACATGTGGAAGATGATGCAGGACACGATAGCAGCAAGCTTATTGATCACTTAATATCACACGGTGGCCATTTTCTCGAGATCATGTGCAGAAGAGAAGAGGGAATTCATGTTAGGTAACTTCCTTGTTACACTCTCAGCCCACCTCAGGCGAAAGACCCTTGGCAATATATAAGCTCTCCTTGTCAATAGATTAATGATCAATAACTAAAAGTATCAATTGACAGGGACCTTATCTTCAATCGCAAAAGAAATAAATCCGACATTCCAGTGTGAATATGTCATGATGATATTGGTACCTATATCAACTCCCCTAACCCAACTACTCAACCATGCAACATAACAAATCAAATCCTATCCATATCGATATTTCCACTTCTTGGGTATTCACAGATTCCCAATGCCTTCAAGTTCCCCTAAAATTCCATGAAAACCAAAGAAATCCTCCCATATCGTTTCCAAAGTGTATATGTTCCAAACCATATCAATAATATCTCCCTCTTTCCAAACCTCGTTAAGAATATTATACAATCATAAAGCTAACTACCTCCATCCAGGACACATTGCTCGCTCCTCTCACCTCGCCATTTCCATCCTCACAACTCACGGGAAGGTGCTGGTGTAGGCCCACCCAAAAGATTAATACAATTGGTCAACAATAAAGCAGCTTCATGCAGTAATTGCCATCTCGTTTTTTCAAAGACGCTTTTCAAAACCATCAGCATCCCAGAACATCCATTGAGACCAGTCAACTTTTTCAGTTCTTCAGGATTATCCACCGAGCCGAATCGTCGCAAATAGGCTCGCATATCCCGAACTTGGTCGTCCATTGAGTTTGGAGAAGGGACCGGGGCGTCAGTCGGTCCTTCGAGTGCATATCCGTAGCACCATACAATCAAAGCAGCGAAATACATAACCCACGGTCGATTTAAAAGAATATCGTCGCGAGCCGAATAATCGAATGGTGGATCCGGTTGTGCATGATCATAGCCGTGGGATACTGAGGTTGGTTCTTTGGGAAGAAGTACTGTGCAGAGAAATTTGATTGCATAAAACGTCGCATCCCTAGCTCTAGCGGTCGGTGCCCAAGCGTCTTTCATTCTTTTCTGGGCACTGTTCAAGTCCTGTGATCCAATCGTGCGACCAAGAAGACGTTTCGCTCTTGCAAATATCTGGCAGTCAACAACGTCAACGTGCATTGCCATATGTGCGAGGTGATGAAGCACTGTCCTGGACTGATAGATAATATTGTTTTCCTTGCCAGTATAAGCATATGGTCCTGTCATCGTTTCAGACTGTTGTAGCAAAGACATGTCGAAATCTCGTTTCCAGAGGTCAAATGCCCGAGTCAGGGATCCTCTCCATTTGTCCCGGCCGCCTAACGCCTGCGATACTCCCAATGAGTTGACCTGTAGATCACGCTGATGCATATGCCAGCTAACGCTCAAGAGCCCTGCCATCAATATCGTACGGCCAAAAGAGTTTGTTCGCACCGTTTGAGCATTAAGAGTTCGTTTCAGACCTTCCAAAAATGATATAGGCTTTACTCCATTGGCTTGGAGGGTTGACTCCAATCTACCAACTTCAGCACTACTTGTGGCATTCCACATGGCTTCATCGCATGGCAAAGGAAGACGCATCTCGTGAGCAACCATGACTGTAGAATGTCCGAACATCGTTGCGTGCGTAGAGTCAATAACAAATGCCGCAAACGCGGCTCGTCTTGTCGCTTCATTCGTAATCCAATGGTTCCACCACTCATCAGGTGTGTTAGCTCCTGAGGTTGACGATTGACGTGAATTATTGTGCCCTTGTTCTCTCGCACTCGGGGGCGAGTCCAAAGCAGAACGGCCTATCAATGAGCTACCCCGACGCATCAAGGTGATTGTGGTTGCGTGATGGATGTGGGCTCTTTCGTGGAGCGCTCTGGTAGAATACATTTTTTCATATACTTCTAGTATTAAAAGAGCCTGGAACACCCATAATTTTGCTGGAGGGCGGAATTGTTGGTCACTGAATATCTCCCATCTAAGGTGCCATGCCAAGAAATTTGATAGTTCCGCACCAGCCTGCGTCACATCTTCAGCGTACGTGTTGTCAAGAAGAGAGGCACCTATAGCCATCATTGCAATCAGAAGGAGGTTCGGTGTATTATCTGGAGAGAACGTTGGTTTGTGCACTAAAACGAAAATTAGCAAGCTCGACTTGACTTCAATAACGAAACACAAAACCCCTACATATTGGCATTTGATCGCTAAAATGATACCAGTAACTACCAATGTAGGTTTGCATCATTTTCCTACTCATCATATGACTGTCGTTGCTACGGTCCCCGTCAAAAAGTGCATCTTTTTTCTGCTTAACAAGGGGTGCGTTTCCAGTCTCATTGAATCTTTCCTTGATTAAGTCAATAATGGCTTGGCTCTTCTCTTCTGACAAGACTGTCTCCGGCAAGCTAGTGTCAAGCAAACTCGTTACAGCCATAGGATGATGGGGTTGATGAGAAGTAGGAGGATAAAACCCTCCAAGACCAATATTGTTAGTAAAATAGGGCGCATAGTACTGCGCTGTAGCGTCGGGGTAGCTGCTAGAAATGTAAATTAGATACTTATCAAACTGGGTAATTGCATTAGGATACTCACTTTGCGTAAGGCTGTTGACTCATCTGACCCATCTCGTTTTGCTGGCTGCTAAAAAGGTATGCGACAAAATCTTCGGGTATGGCGAATGGAGATCGATTGTAGCATCCTTCGCCACCGAATACCGGCATTGTGTTTGACGTAGCCATTTGATCTAGAAGCACCATGTCTGGACCTGAATGCTGAGCTTGACTGATCTCATTTGGATACTCGGTAGAGACAGGAGTTTGAAACTGTGAATCAGGCTCACGTGAGGGCATCGTAGTTGCAGCCACATTCGCAAATCCTGGCGGTGGTAAGCTAAAAGGAGGAAAGTTTTGTTGGCTTATGTATGCCTGCGGACTATGCGGTTGATTCCCATGGTAGTTTTGGTTGTTCGGGGTGTTCGGTAGCATAGGGTAATGACCAACATTTGTTTGCAATGGTCTGGAGAAATCTGACGACCTCGTGTCAGAAGTTCCAAAGCTTTGATGTCGTTGACCTCTGCTGTTAGAGCCTGCAGATGGTGAATTTTGGCCCCTCTGGATCATATCAGAATCAGAGCGCTTGTAATTGGCAGATGGATATCCATCTGCGCCGATAACTGCGCCAGCACCAGAATAAGTTCCGGGTGCTGATTTGGTCACTGGTGAATATGAAGTAGGTCGAACATCTTGTGGAGACTGGTATGGTATTTGCGTTGTCCGTATCTTGGACCCCATTAGACTCGGTCTTGTTACCTCAGGGGACGTGGACCCTTGAGGTAACTGTGGTTGTGGGATCTGCGATACTGGTGATCCTTGACTCAACATTGAATCTTTTCTGTGTAGCTGTGAACCTTTTGCAGTATGCCGGTCTCGATGCCTATTACATAAATCTTGTCTGACAAACGTTCTCGAGCATCCCTCAAAGTCGCAGTTGTATATCTGTTTCGGGGTATGGTTTAACTGATGGCGGTAGCTAAATGGACAAGCTGTCAGCAATAAGTTCACAGATTATTGCGACCGTGTAGACCTTACAGATGCTCAGCTCTAGAATAGCTCTTCCCACAGCCTGATGTAGAACATTCAAACTTCTTGTCTAGACCTTTGCGACTTCTCCTTCGTTTTCGCGAGGGACCATCATCACCAGAAGTGTGACCTTCTGCAAGTTCTCCGTGCGAAAGATCGCCTTCATCTTCTGTGGTTTTCATTGATATACGGCTTCGACGTCTCCCGCGATTCTTATCGTCAACTTCTCCATTAGGCCTGTGTTGTAGCATGGGGTCGGCCATTTGAGACATAGCAGGCGGATCGAGTTGAGCCATGATATTATTTGCTGGCAAATTAAGAGGATATGCAGTCAATATCGAAGTCATAATCTCATAATATCTTGTAGTAAATGTCGCAGTATGTACGGTATCTTGGGTTGCCAATACTCTGTCGGGGGGTCTTTGAAAGCTTTAGGGAGTTGAAATTGGCGCATAGGGTGGCGAAATCACTCTACTATCGTCCGAGGTCAGACTGGATGAAGCATTTTATATATGAAGAAAACGAGACAGGGTAAAGCAATGTGAATGAGTGAAGATGAATGGTTAGCTAGACATGATGCAAAATGCAGCAGTATGATCCAAGACTCTCATGCGCATCAAGTAACGCGGGGAAATGTGCTGTAAGCTCCCTGGTCAACACGAGAGTACTCTATGTCGGACAGATGATGGACTCGCAACGTGAGATGTGGCTAGGTCATGCAAGAACACACGCGGTGGACCGAAGCTGACGAACGCGCATAGGGCGCTTGTGTGAGATTAGAAAAGAAGATGGAAATAGAAATTAAAGATTAACATGGTATAAGGCTATGAGAAGTGTTTTCAATTACTCACTCATGCTTCCAAAGCTTGTGTTGTCGATCACAAAAGAAGAAATAGAGGGGAAAGGGCGATATATCTCGTGCTAAATTTTGAGTTTGTACTTGTTGAACCGTAATCGTAGATTTCCAAGTGTCTGGGGCCAGGAGCTTTTCTTTTAGCGGATCTGTTCAAGCTGCTGTGGATCTTGTGGGGACATTAAACTTGGCTTGATCAGGTTGTTTGACCACTTTTTCTTTTTCTTGCGACCTTATTATGCTCGCCTTCTATCGGTCCGGGGAATGAATGTTGGTCGTACTGATTGGAGTGTGTATTGGATATCGATGTACGAGGTAATCCTTTCGCATATGGACTGCTTGAACAATCGATTGAGAGAGAGGAGGCGGAGGGGGGTGATTCTCACCAATCTTATGTCTTTTAAGAATCAATCAATTGTTGGAATGTGAAAGCCGTGTTCTCTGGTAACTTCTCTGCTGAACTCTGTTGAGGGTTAAAGTCCTTAATGATTGAGCACGACGTTCATTTGTGTTCGTGGAATATTGTTCCGATGGGTTGGGTAAGGTTAAGAACTGGTTGGGGTTATGTAGGATTGAAGGCTTTTCCAAGACATCAAGAGTAGTTAAGACTTGGAAAATACCTTCTCTGCTTACAGATTGAGGATCGACTTGTGCTTTAAGCTTACCTGGCTTAGGCAGACTTGCAGTGCCAATCTGACGGAACAGGCGATGTGAAGGATTTGGAGTGGTTGGATAATATCTCAACCTTGAAATTTCATTTTATCAGCTGCATATACTTGTTCTTTCTTGTGCCGTGCGAATGTCTTGAAGTAGAATTTCTGTTCATCCACTGACCTTGTGCTTTTTGATTGCTTGAGCAAGGGTCACAATCGTTTGGATTCCCATCTTGCTAGATGTCGAATATACATTAGACCTTCTCGCGGGGAATTCTAGTTACACCCGTCATGAGCTCCCATGAAAGGCATGTATGTGTATTGTGTGGCTTGAAGTCGGAGTATTCGATAAAATACCTGGTAGGTAGACAATCTATAGTGTACAACTCATCTGAATCAACATTCTGACTTCGGCTTCAAGATATACCGTCCGAAGAAAAAGATTGGCTCTTCTCTACCTTGTCCAGCAGCTGTCTGGGTCTAAATTGAGGATAAGTCTTTGGATTAGATCTGTTTTCCATCCTTCCTCAGAGAACGATGTACGCCAAATAGGAAAATTTACAAGGAAGAAATGAGGGGTACGTTTGAATCTTCCTTGCCGGATCGTAGCCACAGCGAGACCAGAATCAGTGCAAGAATTGATAGAAGTTTATTTGCTTTTGTTCCGTGTGATGAAGTCTTCTCTGAAATGACATGAGGAAAGTTACGAACGATATCGCCGTCTTCCGACGAGGCTCGCTTGACTCCCTAATCCTTATCATCCCAAGGCATGATCCAATGCCAATTTTGATTGGAAAACATCAAGTTCATCTCTCATGATTTGTTTTGATGTTCGTGCGCGTACTTGTACTTCTCCGTGGAACGAAAGGAGTGTCTACCTACCGGTACCTACAACAACGATACCGATTCTACGGACAGCCCCCTAGCTACTCTAGCTATCCATGGCTTATCAAACGAAGAGATTGGACTGCTAAACTTGCGAATGCTAAATCCCTAATGTGCATTAGCATTACCCGTAAAGTGGCTCTGGATGTCTTGATCCGCTACTAATAAATCCGGGGTGCGTAAACTTTACCTAGCAGCATCCAATTTCTTAGCCCCAGTAAACTTTCCTGTTGGTGTGTCGGATCTTTTTTTATTCTCCAGGTCCTTATGACGATCTTGCAACTTTCAACTGAATCATCTTTCAACACCAAAAAAATCAAACGATTTTTACCACCAATGTAATCCAAAAATTTGAATATCGAATTCATCAATCAACAATCCAAAATACAAATTTTCAAGCTCCTAGAGCCATCTCTCGACCTCTTCCAAGATGCGTAAAGGACCTCGTCCGCAACAGCCTGATGATTCAGAAGCGTCAAGTACCAAAGAGAAAGGAAATCCAATTTCAACGCCAGCTACGAACGGGAAAGGCAAACGGGTGGCAAGCAGTGCGGTTAATGCAAATGTATCGGCCGCAAATAGCACCCCCAATGCGTCTAGTGTTATAGCAGGAGCTGCGGGAAGTACCAACACTGACGGAAATTCTAAAGTATTATGAACCACCATCATCACATTTGAAGATCAAGCACACAGTCTAACAATAACTTCCTTCGCAGATACAATGGTCGGAGTTCGACGCATCTTTTTTGCACAGGTATCGATACGAATACGGATTAAATACACCTGCTGCCTTCAACAGTGCATACAATCAAACTGTTCTTTCTCAATCGAGTATCGGCCGCATGTCACCAAGTATGGTTCGTAAGAATAAGAGGCAGAGCAAAGAACAATTGGCCAACGCTGTACGCAAGCACTTCAATAGTCAGTCGGTCAACGAAAATGAGTGTGTAGCCAAGACCTTATATAAAGTTCGATATCAGGGTGAGTCAATATGGTGCTATTCATGGCTGGTAACGACAGCTCAGCTAATTGTTTATAGACAAGAAATTTCGCATGAGATTCATGCCACAGGCGCGACCTATGGAGCGATCTCAGCCTGAACGACCCGCCTAGTCTAGGCACATACAACAATTTGTGAGCAACTTGGCTTCAATTCGATCGACATTCGGCGACTATCATCCTAATATAATAATACAACGAGCATACGACGGAGGGGAACGAATGGCTGGTGTTATAAGGATAATCGGGCTAGACTTGTATATTACATTGTACAGAGCACTTTACGGAGAGCCTTTTCATTTCAGGGAGTTGGGGTTTACGAGCTTTCACTGTGGAGTTTAGTTATTTAAAATAATGACTGTCATGACCAATGGACAATAGAATGGAATTATTAGTACTTCAAACTAATCAATTCATCTATCAATGGAGAGATTTTTGTTTTGCATTTCAAAAGTTTTGATAACCTTCAGCCTTGTTGCGATTTGTAATAAATTACTGGGGTCAATTACGCTCATCCAATCATAGTTGATCTATCTCAATTGCCTTGCCGGCAGAGAAAAAAATATTGGAGCTTTCCAGAATGATCGTTGATATTCATGATAGTTTTAGCTTAACTTCAACAATACATTCACCTGAAATAGTTTTTATTTGTTCCTATGATCATTGCATTGCACATCTTGATATATCTCTTGCATACATGGTGAACATCTATCTATCATAATGAAGACAGGAACAACAGGCCTTCTTTCAAAGGCAGCCAATCCATCTCGAATTTTATATTCCACACCAGCGAGTCGTCATTGTACATTGAAAAGAGATGACCACAAGCCATCTCAAACACGAAATCTTTCAACAATTTGCGCATCAAGGGGAAGATGTAGATCTTCTCAGAACGACCTGACACTGAACCCAATACAGCGACGAGTGAGTATCTATCCTGTCAAAGTGCTTAAAGTCACATAACAAAGTACTGACATGAAGTCTTCCTAGTCTTTTCATGCGACAACAAGAAACCAAGCTACGAAGAATCCGTACGACGTTCTCGGAGTTGACAAAGGCGCTCCTGCTTCAGCCATCAAGAAAGCATATTATGGTCTTGCTAAAAAGTTTCATCCAGACACCAATAAGGACCCAAATGCTAAAGACAAATTTGCGGAAGCGCAATCTGCCTATGAACTTTTAACCGATCCACAGAAAAAGGCAGCTTGGGATCAGTATGGATCTGCAGCATTCGACCAAGGAGCGGGACCCGGACCTGGTGCTGATCCATTCGGCGGTGCGGGGGGTTTTGGAGGTTTTGGGGGTGGATCTGGTGGTTTCCCAGGCGGAGGGTTTGGTGCAGATTTCAATTTCGAAGATTTGTTTAAAGGTTTTACTGGAGGCAAAAGAGGTAGAGGTGGTGGTCGTAATCCATTTCAAGAAGAAATACTCGTGGGAGACAGTATTGAGGTTCAAACGAATATCTCCTTCATGGAAGCAGCAAAGGGGACCAGCAAAACCATCAGCATATCTCCATTATCTACTTGCAAAACATGTACTGGAAACGGTATGAAATCTGGGACGAAACGATCGGCGTGTAAGTCCTGTGGAGGAACTGGCACTCGCGTGCATTCTATGGGTGGTTTTCAAATGGCTTCAACATGTAGTGCCTGTGGTGGCCAAGGAATGTCGATTCCACCTGGAGGAGAATGTCGGACATGTTCTGGAAATGGTGTTGTGCGTGAGCGGAAAACTATCAACGTTGACATACCTGGAGGTATTGAGGATGGTATGCGATTGAGGTTAGATAGGGAAGGTGATGCTCCAGCTACTGGACAGGCTGCGAACCCCAATAGCCCTTCACAACCTGGCGATCTTTATGTACTCGTTCGAGTAGCCACAGATCCAAAATTTAGTCGCTCTGGAT